TGTCTAGAATAAAGTCTTTAGTAGAAGTTGGAATGAATCATGTTTAACAAAGCAGATTATCTGCTCAGGCTTCTGATTTTTAGTTTGCATTTTTTATCATTTATCTTATTACTGGAATATGTTAAAGACGTTAGTGTTCATAGAATCATGGAATCCTTAGAGTTGAAAGGGACCTTTAAAGGTCATCTAGTCCAACTCCCCATAGTTCTACTTCAAGTGACTAGAGTTTAAACATACTTAATTGTAACCAGTTCATAGAGGACCTGAAGACCTTTTGACATCCTCATTGTCAGGGATATCAACTTGCAGTTACACAACTATTCTAGCCAGCAAGTTTTTTCTTCTCTAGTAAAAATTTAGCCTCTGAAGTCTAAAGCAAAAAATTTTTCATTGCCTGAAAGCAATTGTGAATGAATCCTCCAAATATAATATTCTGTTCCTAACAAGACTAGCACATTTTCTTGATCCATCTTAGATATAAATGGCACAGAGTACAAAGAAACACTTGTAGCTGATGTTTTCAAGAGAGAACGAAGTACAAAATTGTTCCGTTTTTTTTTTCTGTTAGAAATTCAGAGTTAACAATAATATTTTGCTCCATTTGTTTGTTTTATTTCTTTTTACACTTTCAAGCTTCATCACTTTGTAACCTGAAGTAGGCAGGAGAGAGCTCTTGTCTGTGCTTCTGTGATACAAAGGAAAATGTTGAAAGTATGTTTTGCACACGTTTCTAGTTTCTGAGGCTCCTAACCAAGTTTTTTTTTTTTTTTAACTGAAAACATTTTAATGGAGCAGCAGATTAGCAGTGCACTCCTTTAAAACAAACAACAACAAGCAGATGAAACCTTTTCTTTATTTCTCATATACTTGGCTGAAAGATGTGAGGGAGCTTGGGCTGTATATACATTTAATGTAGTCAGTAATACTTCTGTATAAATCAAATAAATAAGCTATAGTTTTAAAACAGTGGAAAGCAAACAGGAAGTACAGTGTTACTAATCTGTGAAATTGCACAATACACTCAGGCATCAGAGCTGAAGAAAGAACACATGTCCGGTTTTGAAACACGTGCTTGTTTTTTATTTTTAACTGTTTTTACTGACCTTGTTTTTACTGACTGGTATATTGAATTAATTTTTGTTCTTTAGTGTGCACGTTGACATTAAAGTATCTGTGCATAAACATAACAGTCAAAAAGCAAAACATAAGAGGAAAGGTAAAATGAAGAGTAACAAGATTGCCACGTTTCTCTTTTCCCCTCAGCATAGAAGTGTGGGAGCTGCTTTTCCTTAAATTTCAGTTCTCTTTATACTCCCTTTCTTCCACTCCTCCCTTTTTCTTTTTTTTCCCTTCTCACTTCCAGTTGCTGTCTTAGAGTATCTTGTCAAAAAATGAGCGCTGCCTTATGAAGAGTTCTGGAAAGCTTTCTGTCTAAATAAATTGGATAAAGTGTGTTTTTTGACTTCTGGATGCAAGTTACAAGGATACGAAAAAATTAAGAGTCTTGAAGATCTGGTAGAAGGTCAATGTAATTTGTTAGTCATTTACAAATAAAAAGTAATAAATAAAAAAAATCCCTATCTGCCTGCCTTGTAAGAAGTTGCTGCCAAAACTGGTTTGCAATGAAATGGTGAGCGAAACTGCTTTTTGTAAAGTAAATATTATGGTATGGAAACCTAGTTGGAGGCTTAGATTGTAATGTGGCAGAAAACCTGCTTAGAATACTCATTCTTCTGTCAGGGAAAGGGATTTAAAAGTTAACTGGCAAAATCTGAAAGTGTTGAGATTATTTTTTGATAATGGAAATGGGAACTTCAGCGGGTCATAATGGGCTAGCTTAATGATGACCAGCACTCTTGTTTTAGCATAGGAGACCCAGCGTATGCTGGAAGGAGTAGGTGGGAATATTCATTAAAATGGAGTGTAAATAGAGTATTTAGTAATAAAAGCCTGTTATGGTTATAGATTACTGTATCAAAACATCTGATTAGGAATGTACTAAAATGTATATGTTGGAAAGTGTTAGGAATATGACATACATTAGCTTGCATGCTATTTTTATATTAGTTTTATAAGCTTATTTAGAAACTGCTAAATATTACTGTAGTATTGTGGCTGGCCTTGGTATTACTTGGGGACCTTCTTGCTTTAAATCTTGTCACAGATATTCTGTTATGCTTCTTGGTTATTTGTATTGAGAATTTGAGTAGGGTTGTCTATCAGGAAGTGATTGTTAAAAGATACATTTGAGTTGACTGTATGATCCAAAATCATAGTCATTAAGGTCATCTAATGTAACAGTCCACCTATACTGCCCACTAAACCATGTCCCTAAATACTGCATCTACATTTCTTGAACACTTCCAAGGATGGTGACTCCACCAACTTCCCTGAGCAGACTGTTTCAATACCTCACCACTTTTTCTAGGAAGAAATTTTTCCTAATAGTCAACCTGAAAATCCCCTGATGCAACTTGAGGCCATTCCCTGTTGTCATTAGTTACCTGGGAGAAGAGGCCAACACCCACCTTGCCATAACATCCTTTCAGGTTGTAGTTGAGAGCTTTAAGGTTTCCCCTGAGCCTTCTCTTCTCCAGACCAAACAATCTCAGTTACTTCAGCTGCTCCTCAAAGGACCTGTGTTCCAGACTTTTCACAGCTTCACTGTTCTTTTCTAGACATTTTCCAGGGCCTTGATTTCTTTCTTGTAGTGAGGTGCCCAAAACTGATTGCAATACTCGAGGTTTGACCTCACCACAGGGGGCGATCACCTCCGTAGTGCTGCTGCCTGCGCCATTTCTGATGTAGGCTGAGTGTCAGTGACCTTTTTGGCTCCTAGGCATGCTGCTGACCTATGTTCAGCAACTGTTGACAAACACCCCCACATCCTTTTCCTCAGTGCAGCTTTCCTGCCACTTTGCCCAAATGTAGCATTGCATGGGGTTGTTGTGACCAAACTGCAGTACCTGGCACCTAGTATCATTCAACTTGATCCCATTGGCCTCAGCCCAGCAATCCAGCCTCTCCAGATTCCTCTGAGTGGTCTTGCTACCTTCAGGAGCTGAACACTACCTCCTAACTTAATGTCATTTGCAAGCTTCCTGAGGGTGCACTGAATTCTCTTACCTAGATCATCAGTAACGGCATTTAAATACAGAAATGATTGTTAGATAATCATGGAGAGTATCTGTTGCTAAATAATAGTTGTTTCAATAAGAAGATGATAGGCATTAAGTCCAGGACGTTAACTAATTATGTCTAAATACTTCCTATGAGGAAGTTATTTTAGGCTGCCTGTTATTCTGGACTGCCCACTACAGGCTTTTATTTTTTTTTCACCTGCCTGGGTCAGCCAGCTGTGAGAAGATTTTGGTGTATTTGCCTATGTTCAGTAAATCTATTATCTATAGCTTGCTTCAGTTTCAAACCTTGAAAGGCCACAAGAAAGCAAAATCAGAGGAAATAAATCTTATTTACAAAGGCATACTGTTTGGGCCTATTTTTCTATGTACTTGAAAATTATGTTTCAAGCACTTTCCTCTCCACCCCTGGAGGAAGTATGAATTTTTTTTCAGGTGTTGATTGACACCGCTTCTCTTCCCAGCTTAAACAGCTGATTTCCCGAAGTTTGATATAGGAATAGAACAGAGAGTAAGACAGGTAACTTCATCTGTGCAACCGGTGCAACATCCATGCAACATCTCAAATTAATGTTTTGTGTATTTTCATCATTTCTGATGCATGCCTTTTCTCAATAATGTATAGTAAAACTGGAGGAAATACAAGGGGCAACAATAATGACTCACTTCTATGGATGAAATCTTATGCAGTGACTGAGGATTCTTAATGTTCTTCAGACTGGAAGAAAGATAATGCATCATGGCTGATATAAACAATGGTGTGGTTGATCAGTTTCTTTTCTGGTACTTTTTAGAAAAAACAAAACAAAAAACAGAAAAAGGCCACATCAAACAGCAGTGGTAAGCACTAGTTTCAAAACAGGACAACTGATCTTCAAAAAAAAACTTGTAGCTTAGGTGTGCAATTTGTTACTGTGGAAGTAAAGTCTATGTGGTATTATGAAATACTTTGTGCACATTTTAGTCTATTGTGAGCTAGCTCAGGGCAATATATTGCAGTCTTTGAATCCTCACACCATATATTTACAATTAGAAATTTCTGTTTGTAAAGTTTTTTTTTTAACTTGGGAAGCCATCCAGAGGGACCTGGACAGGCTGGAGAAGTGAGTCCAAGTGAACCTAATGTAAGGCCAAGTGCAGGGTGCTGCACTTGGGTCAGGGCAATCCCACCTGTTTATGAAGACTGGGGAAGATCTCTTTGACAGTAACCCTGAAGAGAAGGACTTGGAAGTTCTGGTGGATGAGAAGCTGCACATGAGCCAGCAGTGTGTGCTTGCAGCCTGGGAGGCCAACTGTATTCTGGGTTGCATTAAAAAAGGGGTGGCCAGCAGGGAGAGGGAGGTGATTGTCCCCCTCTACTCAGCTCTTGTGAGGCCCCATCTGCAGTACTGCATCCAGGCCTGGAGCCCCCAGTACAGGAAGGAGGTGGAGCTCTTGGAGCGGGTCCAGAGGAGGGCCACTAAGATGATGAGAGGGCTGGAGCATCTCTCCTATGAGGAAAGGTTGAGGGAACTGGACTTGTTTAGCTTGGAGAAGAGAAGGCTCCAGGGAGACCTCATTGTGGCCTTCCAATTCTTGAAGGGAGCATATAAACAGGAGGGGGAATGGCTGTTTATGAGAGTGGATAGTGATAGAACAAGGGGGGATGGTCTTAAACTGAGAGAGGGGAGGTTTAGGTTAGGTATTAAGCAGAAGTTTTTCACACAGACGGTGGTGATTCACTGGAACAAGTTGCCCAACGAGGTTGTGGATGCCCCATCCCTGGAGGCATTCAAGGCCAGGCTGGATGTGGCTCTGGGCAGCCTGGTCTGGTGGTTGGCAACCCTGCGCATAGCAGGGGGGTTGGAACTAGATGATCATTGTGGTCCTTTTCAGTTTAGGCCATTCTGTGATTCATGATTGATTGTTAGGCTTAATGTTTCTTTTAAGGGACCTGGGAGTATGACTCTGGAATCAGGGCTGGTCATAGGAGAATGTCCTTAGGAAAATCTTTAAGTTCATGTTTTTCTGAGGGAGCAGAAATTGCTATACCAATTAAGGAAATACAGGTTTGTGGAAAAGGAGCAGTTAATGTACAAATTCTATTACAAAGAGCCCTCAACTTCTCAGAAAATCACTTAGTACTTTAATTATCTGCATTTATGGATTGAAAAGATTTGCAGCAAAAAGACTGTGTTGACCATGCTATGAAAGTTTAGGTTATCTGGAAAAGAGGAGCTTCAATGCTTTCCCTTGTCTCTCCACTCCCTCTCATATCTCTCTTCAGAAGTTTCTCTAAAATGAACATGAATGGCAGGAACGATTTGGAAATTGACTTCTTTGAGTTGGATGACCTTTGCCTTGCAGTGTTTGTAGTCACTAAATGGAAGTTTTCAAGGCATTGGTGTCCTCCAGCATTAGCTAGTAATGTTTGCAGGTTTTATAACATAGTTTTCTGCTTTGTATCAGGAAGGGTACTTCTGCATATGAGGGTGTTTTTGCATTCTGTGAGCTCTGTTTGCTCTGTTGAAGTGTAAATTAATATTTGAAACTATTTTACTACAAAATTGAAGTTGTTTTCACATTGTCGACTGATTCTTTGTAGCTTTGAGTTAAATTTGATGTGGAATGTATTGATGTGCTTCAATACTTACCCTTAAGAATTCAAGCTTTTGGATCTTCTGGTAGGCCTTCTGTATGAGTCAATTTCATGCTCTCAAACTTGTAGTTTTAGTGTGGTGACAGGTGTTCTTAAAGCAGTTAAATTTTGGAATCAGGTTATCTCAGAATCACACTGGAAAATAATTAGCAGAAGCAGGCAGCTCTGCTTTAATAACTAAGAGTATTTATCACCTGAACACCTTACTAAGGGTCGTGTTGAATCCTCCAGCACTTTAAAGACTGCATGACTTCTAAAAAACTAGGGGACAGTGCTTAGATTAGTGATACAAGGCTGTAATAGGTAAGACTAGTGGGATCTGTGCTGGGAATTGGGACATGTTAAGATGGACAGCTGAAAAGATGTTTGCATAGCACGTTATAAAAAGCATACTGGAGAAAAGAGTGGGAATGTGGAGTGAATTCTACTTACACCTTTTGGAGCTATTTTTTGAGATAGTTACTGAGGTGAGGTGCATCATATCAGATCTCTTACTGGCAAAAGATGTGCAGAGATCCTGTCTACTGTCTCAACCTTTAAACCTGAGGCTGTTTCTCTTCTCTTCTCTGAGTATTGACTGGTTATCTTTCATTGACTTATCAAAACAAAGGGGAAACTGGGAAATATCTATTTTGTGAGAGAACATTAATGCATTTCTTGTACTGGGTATTGGTTAATCATGGTTTCTTTATAACCTCACAAAAACAAGGGGAAAGAAGTGATGAGGGCACAACAGAAGCAACAAAAAGCTCTTGATCAGTGTTATTTTATGTTCCTTTGGAAATTTTTTGTAAGTTCTACTGTGACTGCAGTAGGCATTTCTACACTAGTCACGGTTATTGTGACTAATAAGGTCGTGGTGATAGGCATGAATTGTTGTGAGTGGATTTTGTAAGCTATCCTGGCACTCTTGGTATGCGCTCAGGCTGCCTGCCTACTCTGAAGCCTGTACTTCTCCATTTTCCATATTGCTGTAATACACAGAGCTAGATTGTATATTGGAGTGCCTATGGGTAAATGTGGTCAAGTTTTCATTTTGCCATTTAGATATTCTAAACATGACTAATATTTTAGGGCTATATTCTAGTATATTACTTTACTTTTCTCTTGATGCAAGTCTGAGATACAGTAACTTATTTCCACCATAAGGATTCTCCGTAGTGGAGGGCAACCTGGAGAATCATATCATTGAAGCACAGAAATGTTTTGGGTTGGAAGGCACTTTTAAGATCATTTAGTTCCAGCCCCCCTGCTATAGGCAGGGACACCTAATAAACAGTCTGTTATGTAGGAAGTGCTCTGACGATTGTGGAGGCCATTCACTTGAACATTAAAATGAGGGTAAAAATACTCTCCTCTGATTTCTTGACATGTGTATTGTAACTTCTGTTCTATTCAAACAACCTGGAAGCTGTTTACTCTAGTTGTCTCACCTCTGTGCACGTGGGCCTAACTGTAATACACAGAGGAGGCACTGTGATATTTTTTTGTCATGGCATTTTGTGGAAGAACAAGAAGCATCATCGTGATTGTGATTCACAAGCATGGTGTGCCCTAAGTATCTGATCAAATAAGTTGTTCTGTGTACAGTGAAATTAGGTTTCATACAATTTTTTCTTACGTCCTCACAGGTGTTTTCTCCCTCTGCTGTTCTAGACCTTTTTACTTGTAAAAATATCGAGCTTAGATTGAGTCAAACCCATGTCTGTGATGGCCTTTGAGTCAGGCAATGCAGATAACTTGAGTTCATGCTGCAATCCTTTGCTCAGCAAGCACAGGAAATTCTTTCTCCTCTGCCTAGCTGTTGATTTTCTTGAAGCTCCTGGAAACCAGGTGTATCAGAGGGCATTACTTTGCAGTTTAATTTAACTGGATCTGGTGGTGAACAGATGCATTTAGAGGGACGGAGGTGAAAGGAAGAGTGGGAAGAAGTGATTGGACAGTATGAGTCATACATGTGATGTTTGCTTGGGAAACCAGGCTAAAAAAGGTTTCTGCCAGAGAGCTGCTAGTCTAAGTATAAGACAAAACAGAACAGGCAGACATGTGCAGTGGAATCACAGTCTGTGATTTGTTTAGACCTCTTGCATAACACTCTCAAAAGCAGGTTTTGTAAACCTCTGTACTGTATTTTTTCTTAGACCTGAATATGAGGCTGGCAATGTATTGCATTTAATGCATAGTTCCAGCATAGAATCGTAGAATGGTTTGAGTTGGAAGGGACCTTAAAGACCATCTAATTCCAAGCCCCCTGCTGTCGGCAGAGGCAATCTGAAACAATGGTCATTGAACGTATGTGGAAAATTACAGAAGACGCAATATTTTTCAGCATAGCTTGCTCTCCATGCTTTTATCTAACCTGATGTTTGAAGAAGAGTGGCAGTTTGCTTTCCAGTTCAGATCTGTGTAGATCTGCTGTAATGCTGGTAACTTGGAACTTAATAAAAAAATATTTGCAATTTATTTGGAATGTTGAAGCATCTCTGGAGAAGCTGTTAGCTGCCAAGAACTACTGCCTTGTCTTGCTTGTCAAGGCTTTATGGACTCTGAGAAGCAGACTGCCAAAGCTGAAATTCTACTAATATTGAAGCATTAGTTGTAAGGAAGCTGGTGGCATCTCCCCAGTAGTACTCTCTGTGGGCTTGGGCTTGGTGTAAACAGGACATATAGTGAATGTATGGTTTATGGGGTGAATGTTTAATGCTAGGATCACTCTTAGTGGACTTAAAAGAATCCAGTGTTCAGTATTAGAATAGAATATATCCTACAGTTAAAAATATTTTGAAACAATTGTTCTGCCTTGTTTCCTGGATTGATATGTTTGTATAATTAACATCCACAAGTCTAATGGAATACTGCTGCATTTATTGTATTTACTTCTTAAATAGTAATGGCCTTGGGTTCTTGTTTTTTATTTTTTATGTATGTATGCTCAAAATTCAGCAGTACCCAAGGAATCAGAGAAGCCATTAAAAAGTGAAAGTTTGTAGTAAAGGCATCCGCAAGAGTCTTGTCTTTCTAAGTTTTTAAGTATTGTGTTAAACACTTGAAAGTTGTTTGTTTTTCATTTTAGTAACTGGTATCATGTTGTTTTTCAAGTGTAGGTCTGCATGTCTGTCAGTATTTGTTTGACTGAAGTTTAAGGTTAGTTCAAATGCCACAGAACAGAATATGTTGCTCAGCAAAGGATGAGTGCTGTATTACAGTGTTGTTCTAAAAGTACTGTGATGGTGTGCTTTCCCTGTGTGCTGAGAATTCAAGCCAGTACTCTTAGCAGTGTTGTTTTAAATGGTCACTGAAAATCTGATTTTGTTGCCTACTTTGCCTACTGTTTAAACATTGACTCAAGCTACTGCTAGTACTTATAACACTTTTGCAAGTGCTACTTAATAAGAAAGAACCATTTAATGCTGCTCACTGCATCTTACAAGTTTCCAAGTTAATTGTTAAAATTCTCTATTCAATGGTTCTGTATGTCTTGTGTTTTTTGTTTGTTTTGTTTTGTTTTGTATTTTTTTTACCTTTTAGTTGGGTCATAGATCTGTAGCTAAAATCATCTTCACATGGACTCATAAATTTAACAATCATTCTAGTGTATATTGTCACAGAAGTTAGGACTGCCACAGTTATAAAAACTGATGGAGAATGTACATGTTACGTGTTTAGAGTCATGTTAGGATTCCAATCTTAAATATTGTCTATTTTTTAACATACAATTTTCTCATGTGCTTCTATGATAGATTATTAAAATATTCCCTCTGCTCCCAAGCAAAACAAAACAAAACAAAAAAACGTACTAGATAGTTTAGGTGGGAAACTCAAAGACAAAATTACTCATAGGGCTGGAAGTTGAAGTAAAGTAAAGTAAAGGTGAAAACAGTGAAAAAATAATGCACAGTAAAAATAGTACATGATTGAACTTAAGCAGATGAAAAAGTAGTGTGATTGGGAATTGGCAATTTGTATTGGGACCAAAGCAGAACATCAAAAGACAAGGAATTTAACGTATTCTGTGGAGAATGTGCAACATTTCAGTGTTATACAAACAGATCTATTGAGTTAAATTGGCAGAATGTAAGCCCTTCAAAGTGAAGAAGTTGGATAAGCAAAGGTTAGAGCTATTTGTGTAATTTGGACTTTGCTTTCCTTGCGTATGCCAAGTAGGAGCTAATTAAAGTTAATAAAATTAATTAGTTATATGTCGAAAGGAGGATTATAAAACAGCGTGTGCATATCTTAAAATGAGGCACCCTATTGAAAGGAATCAAGACTTATTATGAAGTATTTTGACTAAAGATATCCTTGGATATAGTTTCTAGCTGAAGCTTCTGTTCACTGGAGGTAAATTTTTCCCCCTCACATATACAAATATGTTATTGGTTAATAAAAGTTAATACCTTGTCTTGTCATCTGTCTCTAGCCTGTATCCCTAGTCTGTCCTTACTTGCCATATATATTTGGTCAGAAAGGGAAATGGAATTGCTGACCTTTTAATTAGCATGTACTAGATCTTGACAGTTCAGAGGACTTCTTAAATGGAAAAGGATTTTTTAAATTTCTAAGAAGTGAAGAACAGCAAATGAATTTTGTCACAAACATCAAGCAGAAAATTAATAGTTCTCTGATGGCCTGTTAGTATTTATGGAAGATATCCCTTGCTGATAAGCATAGCCTTTCCATTATGACTTAGAGCAAGCATGCTTGTGGAGCTCAAGGAAGTAAAACTTGGACTTAAAACCTCTGTATTTCCCTAGGTGCAAGTAATGTCACAATTTTAGTTGATGACCAAAGCTATGCATTTAGGGAGTGCCAGTACTTAGACTATTTTGGTGTTGGCTGTAGGCAGGACAAGAGATGTTGGATTAATCTTTGACTGGCTGTTCTGCTCTGTTTAATAAAAACTAATGTGTTTTTGTGTGTTATGCAGACCATTCTCCAGATCTGAAACAAAAATGTCAAACTTGGGAGTTGAATATTAAAGAACAGTTCTGAATTTAGTTAGGTATGCACTGGAGAGATACTTGAGAGTGAAAATAGTATCTGTGGAGTAGGAGTCATGGTGTTTATGGGGAAAAGTGGTATGTATGGTGGAGGAAAAACGACAAGTGATTTTTAGGTTGTGAAACATGACTAGGCAAGCAAGGGGGAGGGAAGTCTAAAATGTGCCATAAAACTAACTGTTGAATGTGTGATTCCAGATATGCAGAGGAGCAGGCTCCACATGGGCAGAACTTTGTCACGAGGTTGTTTCAGAAACTGTCTTGTGGGCTGCATTGGGCATGAGGACTGAGAAATCAGAGGTAATGATTAGTCTAAGATATTTCACTGTGCAGTGTTTGATTAGTCAGCCAAGGTGAGAGATTTATGTGTGCTGAGTACAGCTTGAAAATAGCACGTTTAGGATCCGGTAAATGATATTTCTTTTAAGATATTTGCCATGTTTGTAGAAACACTTTAACGTGTTTACGTTTATTGCTCTTAATATATTGGGTACAGGGAGGATCATAGAAATTTATCAGAGGGTGGAATCTGTGAGCAATATTTTCAGAGTAGTTTCAAAGTTGAATCTTTCTTGAGAGGAGAAAGTCCTCCTTTGATCTCTGTTTGTGTGTAATCAGTTTCTGAGGTGGAATTTTACCAATGTGAAAAGGAAATCTTTAATTTTTATTTTCTTTCAATGATACAGAATTACTGCTTTTTCTGAAGGGAATACAGCTACGTCTGTGAAGTTGTTGCTTTTTTTTAATCAGTTAGAAAGAAATACATTTGATTTGCTATAAGTAATTGAGAAAAATACTGTAGCTTTGGTAGAGACGTAGTCAGAATATATGTAAACTTAAGGGGTCTTGGTATTAAGAGTGTTCACTTAAATTTAATGATACTCCTGAGATCGGCAATTATTACCACTATTATTGTTGATAAATGGTGAAATAGATTTTCAGATCGGATTTGCATTGAATGGAAATTCTATTTTCAATTCTTTTTGAAATCTGAATGGAAGAAAGTTAAGAAATTTATTTGCATTTGACATGAGGATTTTTTTCATTCTTTTTTGATTTTGTTCATTTTTATTTTTAGAACAAAAATCTTGCTTCCAACTGTAGATTTTTAATGTTATTGGAGAGGAGTCATCATTCTTCCCTCCTTCTCTCCCTGCTCCTCCTCTCCCTTCCCCAGATTCTACTCCTGATTTTGCCACCACCTGAAACTGAAAACAGATGTTGTTATTGCGTGCTGTTACAGTACAGGCACTTTTGATACTGTGAAGATAAAGGTTTTAGATGAGTGGTGATTTCAGGAGGCTGTAAGGATCAGAATCTCCATTTAGTGATCCACATGCACTGCTTTAATCTTCAAGAGTGTGCAGTGTAGAAAGGAGAGATGTTCTTGTCCATGGTGGAGCCTGCAGTACAGGGTGACAGGTGGAGGATGTGATAGCCTTTATTACAAAAGAGACAGCTCCAAGGGTTGGGGAAAATAAAAAATATTCACATTTCTTGTCCTGCTTTTGGGACCTCTTTTTCTACAGGAGTAAGAAGGTTGTTCCAGCAATGCTGTCCAATCCTGGAAACAAGAGTTTGTATAAGTAGAGACAGGAGAATGCAAAGGAAGTGGCTGAAGTGTAGAGAACAAATTGGTATTTTTAGTACTGTGATAGTTCACAGAATTACATGGATCATGATTGTATTCTGATAGCTATTGATAATCCTGCAGTTGGGTAGCTTATTAATCATTCTGATCAAACACTTTTTAAAGTTTCAAATCTAATGATTTTATAATAAAATATAACATAATAATATAATAAAAATATACATATATATTATATAACATATAATAAAAAATAATATAGCCTTGTTTACACTTCGTAACAGAGTAACTAATGTCAGCACTATTATTTCCCCATGACTCTTCTAAGAGCCATTTAATATCTAGAAATAACATTGAGGATTTTAAGCCTTAATAAGTAGGTTCAGTAGCCAAATTAGGCATTTGTTTTGAGTAACAGTCACAACAACTAAATGATTTGGGAGCTGAGGACACCTTGTCCACTGGTTGTTAAGTCTTGCACTTTTGTAAATATTTGTCTTTAAAACATTTTTCTGTTCATCTTCAGCAGCTATTTTTCTTTCCCATGTAGGTTTTCTTGCAAATAAGATCAAGAAAATTCTGGTTTTTTCTTTTGTCATCTTTGATTGTGTAGATTTCTTAGGCCTCCGGATCACTATTATCACTTCAGTGACTTCCTACAATCTCCATCTCCTCCCCTCCTTCATCAGGATTGAGAAACTTGTTTAGTTTACATTTAGGTTATTTCTAATTTGAATTTTCTAAGTTCAAGAAAACTTTCACTTCAAATGAGTTAAAAAAGTGGTGGTATAATCACATCCTACTGCAAATTTGTTAGTCCCTCTGCTATGTGATTTCTTTCCTGTCCCTGCTTAGTTTCATCCAGTATATGTTTATGCTTGTTCTCTTTGCTGCATCACTACCCTCTGAGAAGCTTGAGGGTTGTTTTTTTTTTTTTTGTAAACAGTTTTCTTTTAATTCAGTAACCTTTATTTTTGTTTTCTTCGTCTTTTACTTTCAGTCTTAATTATTGTTAGACTGCTCTGTCTTTATTCTCCCAGTAATGCTTTACATGTCCTGCCCTTGTAGAAGGCAGTCTATCCTCAGTATCTTATATAATATCACTACTACTATTTTTATCACTACTTGAAATGCTTACATGTTAGATAGCTTTTTTTTTTTTTTTTTTTTAAATATATATTTCTGTGACTACTTCAACATAATAATTTTCCTGTTAAAGGATACTTCCTGGTGGAATAAGCTTTTGTTGGTACTTCTCTTCTTTGATGGTGCAGCAGCATTTGTCCTATATCCTGAACAGCATTCAGAGAGTAATGGGTGTCTATTTCAAATCTCTAGATAAGAATCTTCATCTTGTATGATATAACTTGGCCCAGCTTTTCTTCTTGAAGGCTTTGTTTACCTCGAAGAAAGTCTTGTCCAACTCTTTTTACTCTGCATGCATCAGACAATGGAGTGTCTGTTTATTTGTTGCTTTGGATCTTGAGTGAAAATTACGAACATGATGTGAGCAGACTCTTTCTTTATCCATAAGGACCACTGCACTTGGATAGTTACTGATGAGAGTAATGAATTAGAGTAATGGATAGCTGTCTAAAGCATTGTCATGTTTTATGTTTTTTTTTTTTTTGTGTATGTGTGTGTGTCATGGAAACATGCAGTCCCACAGCCAAAGCAAACCTCACTTTGTTTTATCTCCTTGCTCTGTTGGTATCTTCCTTGCATTGTAATCATTTCTTCCCAGCCATTATAATCATATTTCCCTCATAGGGAAAGATACAAAACTGTGCAGAGAATCCTCACTTCATTGTTACAAGGATATGGGTAAACACTTGTATGCCAAATTCAGTTTGTAGCTTAGGAGCAGGCAGAGCCAGTAATTCAGGTTAGAGCAGGCTGTATGCCTTGCAGATAAATCAGCACTTGAAACCTGAGTAGGTTAGACAATGAACAGTGTACCATGTCTGTATGAGGACTTTGACACATTTTTCTTTTGTTGTTTTCATTTATTTATCTTGATTTGTGCTCCCTAGGAGTAGAGTTAAAAAGCAAACATTTTTAAAAAGCATAAAACAGCAACTAGTTCCTCAAAAAAACATAGCAGCAAGGAAAAAATTTGTAAAAGTGATGATAATTTGGTCAGTTACTAAAGAATACCTAAACTAATGTTTACATTTATGATTAGGACTAGAGGGCAGACATTGATTTCTTGAGAAGAGTTTGAATTACGTTGCCACAGAATTGATTGCACGTGTTGCGCTGTAATTGACTTCCATATCACTGGTCTCTGAAGTGAAGTTTGCAAGATGATCCATTGAAACGTGGAAAGAAAATTCTACAGCTTGTATGTATATTTTGTCTAAAATGATGGGAATACAATGCTAAGGAGAGGCCAGGATTTCTAGGTCCACAGGAAGGCTGGAGCATGGAAGATGTGACCTTGCTGGAGGAAGATGAAATCTGGGAATAGTTAAGCAAACTGTCGAGTTCTGAACTGCCAGTACTAAGAGAGGAGATAAGGACATATTTGAGACAGTGTAACACAATGCCATGAAGATGTGTAAGTGACTGGAGCACTTTTCTTATGAGGAAGGGCTGAGAGATCTGGAACTGTTCAACCTAGGGAAGAAGAGACTAAGGGATCTCATCAGTGGATACAAATGCCTGAGGGGAGAACACAGCGAGGATGGAACCAGGCTCTTTTCAGTGGTGCCCATTGCCAGGACAGGAGGCAGCAGGCACAAACTGGAGGACAGGAAGCTCCTTCTGAACACCAGGCAACACTGCTGTGCTATATGGGGGCTGGAGCACTGACAGAGGTTGTCCATAATCTGTGGAGTCTCTTGCTTGGAGATCTTCAAAAACTGCCTGGATGTGAGCCTGAGCTGTAGGTACCTGGGCACCCTTCTCTGGGTGGCCCTGTTTGGGCAGGAGTTGGACCAGATGGCTGCAGAGGTCCTTGCCAGCCCCGACCATTTTGTGATTCTAGATGGGGAGTGGGAGAGGGGGTGGTTGTGTGAGTGAAAAAGAAATTACGCATCAGTAATATTTAATATATGTATTGACACTGGGAAGCTCATGTGGTCCTGCCTCTTGTGGCATTGTTAGGTGTCCAGAGATAAGGGAGTGTTCTGCAGCACTATGGGGTTCACAGTGGCACTTGCACTTCTTCATTCACTTTACACGTATTGCAGTTCATGTGTGCCCGGTTAGTTGAATAGATGGATCCGAAGGTGCCATGGATTTAAGGTAATACTAATAATGTGAGTACAAGTAAACAACAAGAACATGGCAGAGCAGATGCTTCTCCTGCTCCTAGTACGAGATTTTTGTTGACCAAATTATGAAGTAAAAATAATGGCAGCCTAATCTAATCTGATGAGAAGTCAGCAAAAAAAATCAACATTATCAAGAAGGCCATTTGAAATATGGATGTACCTTCACAATCATTAATAATTAATTTCATCTGAAATGTATATTGTACCTTAAGATATTAGCTAATGTAGGAAGTTTTTAGCTAATAATATGAAGCACTGTCATGACTAGCAAGGCATTTAAAAACTGTGCATCTGAAATGTGAAGGTCAACAGCTACACTTTTCTCTGCGTTATTTAAAGTCATGTGATAAACAATCCAGTACTCTAGAATTTTTCACTAAATTTAAATCCTTAGGTGCCTCTTCTGAGACTCTTAGATAATAGCAAAAGACAAAAGTTACGTACATCAGGAAAACACTTGTTCTTCCTGTTGTGATAAAAATGTCTGAAATAATGCATGGAAAACAACATGGCAACAAACCAAAATATGTTCCTTTGTCAGTAACTGCTGTTAAAAAATCTTTAGGAAATATTACTAAAGATTTGAGGGGAAAAAAAAGTACTGGAACAAATTGCACCGTGTGTGAGATTTGCTATAGAGTTGATGTATATATAATGAACATATAGATGTTTCTAATGTCTCAATTTATGGTATTTGCTAGATTCTATTTCTGTAATGAAACGTACAAGGAACTAAGCCACTAAAGGACAGATATACCAGAGAAGACATATTCATATCAGTATAGGATTTATTTAATAGAAACATTTTTTTCTTAAATGGAAATAATGTGCAAATGTAGTCACTGATAGAATGTCTACTGTATCAGAAGTTGTTTTTTTCAACTAGGTAAGGTTGCAAAAATGAAACGTGAAGTTCATTGGCTGCATCAAGCTATTGTAGAAAGGAATTTGGAGTCAAAAATACACATGAAGTGCTGGAGGATGTTATTGACACGGTTAATAATATGAAAGGAAGGCCTTTAAGTAGCAGAGTCTTTACAATATTTGCAGTGACACGGCTGCAAATATGTGACCATGAAGATCTTTTGTACAACACAGAGGTTTGCTGATTATCTCATGGCAAGAGTTGTTAAACAGTGATGTATTACATGTTAGGCATTTGTTCAACTTTTCTGTTATGAGAAGTGGTTGTCTACTTAGCAGATGCATAAAAACAACAAAAGGTTGTGTGACCCTTCCAGGTAAGGGTAATGCTTTAATGGTGAGGAAGTAGCTGCTTTGTGAAAGAAATTTGTACTATGGAATGTTTGGAAAGTAGATGTTTTGAAATGTTTGTGATTTTGTTGCCAGAAGTGATGCAAATATGCCACCTATAAAAGCTCTTACATTTAAAACTGGAAGCAATTTTGTAACCTATTTTAAGTTTTTCAAATGAAGATTTTCAGTGGGTTTTTGACCCACTTGCTGAAAATGCAAAAATGAAACACCTTCAGTTTGATTTTCAAGAACTGATTTTTGCTATCAGGGAAGATATAAACTGACCAGCCACATACTGTGAAAAAATGTTTCATGAGTGGGAGTGAAAAATGATTATTATGACTTGGTAAGTGCAGCCAATGGTGTTCTTCCATTTGGGTGTATGCATCTTTATGATTTTTCTTCTCCAGCTTGACAGACATTAAAGCCAAGTATTGAAGTTACACTGAGTTTATAACCAGAAACAAACAAACAAACAAACAAAAAAAACAACCACCACGTGAGCATATTTTATCACATTGCTCTCCTTGAGAAATAATTTTATTTTTAGTAGAAATTTTTTACTGTACCACTAATAAATAAAAAATAATAATACTCTTTATTTCTTCTTTCTCTTGTCCTTTTCAATTTCTGCTTTTGTGTGTTTTATAATACACAAAATATTTTATTAGTACGTTCATATAATTTTATAGAAGTGTGCATACCAGGGGTGCGTGCTCAATATTTTTTTCACTGATACATGTACAGTCAGATAGGTTTGCATGGCACTGTTCCATATTACTGTTGTTAGCAGTTGGTGTTCACAGAGGCAAATACAGGGCGTTCATCCAGACAGTGTATTTTTAGCTTGTGTATTTTTATGACACAAGTAGAATTGTCCATTAGATAATATTTCTAGTTTTGTTTCATGTGTAATGATTTGAAAGAAAGAGATCAGTGCTGTATGGCCTTCAAGTGCTGGGATGCCCCAGCTCACATCAGAGCCACGGTGTGCTAGCTGATGAATGGGAGCACAGGGTGGTCCTTGCTAAGTGCTTGCTGTTTTGATAGGTGAGGAAGGTGGGCAACAGTGGTTGAGAAAGCTGATGGCAGGTCTAGGAATAGATTTCAAATTGTCTAAATCACTCATGTTGCTGCTAGGACAGTTTGGTTTTTCAAGCATGTATGCGTTTCAGATGTTGTTTCCTTGAAGTTGTTGGTGATTAGCTCATCTGGATTATAAGCATAACTTTTAGAGACAGGAATGTTGATATTGCTGCTGTATGTTTTTTCTTTGCTTTAACAGTTGTTCTAAACTTTGTAAACGTAAGCATTACTGAAGTGCCTCTGCATAATCAAAGGCAAAGTGTGACAAATTTTGCAAAGTAATTATTATTATTTTTTAACTAGTATTATGAAAAACTGAGTTGTCATGTTAAAGTAACGCTTGGTGTCTTGCTAATTAATTGCATGTTTTAATAAACTGTCTCTCTCTCCTCTCTCTCTCTTTTTTTTTTTTTTTTTTTTAATTTAGGCTAAAGCCTAAACTTCTGACATGGCCACAGCCTCACCGAGAACTGATACAAGTAACAACCATAATGGAAGGTTACAGATGCAAGTAACAGGCAAGTAGTGATAATTTGTATCACAGTGGTTTTTAGAGGGAAACATTCTAAAAAAAGCAAGCTGAAGCAAATGTGAAAAATAGATCAGTGTAGTCGGCAGTTTAATTCACTGGAAGGTTACAATTAAGAGCATAGCTGTAACATGCATAAATGAATTAATGCTAGGTAGAAATGTTGAAATCAGGTGGATGACAGTTTAATGATCTCTTCAAATGAGAAAAGCAATGGATGCAATACAGCAGTTGTGACAGGAACTGTGCTTGAGAAGAAGTAATTAATGCCATAAAATCTGTACAGAGAAACACTTATTACTGAAATTATACAAAAAATATTGGCAATTATAGTGAACTGCAAGTAAAAATGCATGCAGTGTTGTGGAAAATCTGTGGGAAAACTGAAAGGGATTGCAAAATCTGCTGGCCATTCAAAAAAAGCCTTCATATACATATGTATGCATGTATATATTATGTTATTTTACCACTGATATGTAATCTGAGCTTTTCCAGGGATCCGGAAAGAGTCTGGGAACCCTGAAGTAAGAAAAAAATATGTGATTGGGGATGCATTTAAGTCTATAATGAGCAAAATTTGGGAAAAAAGTCAGTAAGATGCTATGTCTTTTAAAAAGTTATATCCAAAGAAAGATGCATCGTGTTGAGTTGTAGAAAGGTGACTGGGCTATCTGAGGAAAAAATACATTGTTGTGCTGTCCCCAAAATGGATATTTTGTTAAATTAAATGAGGAATCCTTTGTAGGAAAACTAATAAACTGTGTGTAAAGATAGCATGATGAATTGTCAGAATCAACTATAACTGATAGCTCAGTGTATGAACAACTGTAACAAACTGAATTAAATGAACAGCCTGTAACTTCAGGGCAGCATATGCAGGAATTATCATTCTGATGTCCCGTTTGGTTCTGCTCTATAAGTACTCTCATGTTTTCCTGGCACTGAAACTTCTCTGACTTCAGGAGATCTGGTTCAAAGACTGAAATGGACAGAAACCTGTCTGATTTTTTGGCTTAGAGAATTAACCCTCGAGAAAACTAATGGAAAGCAATCACAGAGGCATATGGGAGGCTTAAGAGAGGAAAGCATAGCCAGCAGGTATATCCTGCTGTGAGTCCAACGTCTTTTCTGGAGCAGGTGCCTGAAGCACCATTTGAAATGTTGGCAGCTAAGCTGCTGTTGGTTGTTACAGTAACATTATCAGCTGGATGAGGAAACAGAAGAATAGATTTGTATTCAGGAACACTGAGGACCTCACCAGTGATTTGGAGACAACAAAAAAATCGAACTTCTTTGGTCAGTTGCTGTTTCTAATTGTCGAAGATTTAGCTGAAGCCTGAAATTCATCTGCAAAATTCTTTAAACGGGGGAAATTTGAGAGCTGATTTCTTATTTTTAGTGATGTGTTAAACCAGAAGTTAATCACACACGTGGTACAGGTGAAGAGATGAAGCTCTGCATTCAGGTTTTGCGGTGAAACATACATAGTAGTGAAGCACTTGTAACAGTGAAATTTTGAAACAGGCTTAAATTGCATGTACCTTTGTAAGTATGTATAATTTGAAATAACAAAGCTTCTGTTAAAAACAAAAAACAAAAAACAAAAAACAACAAAACAAAAAATGTCTGATAATCTCTCACCTGTACCATACTTAGCTACTGTTCAAGACAACAGTTGGAAGAGAAATAATTTTGAGAAAATCTAACAGACTGTATGATTTTCATTTTTTTTAATAAAATAATTGTTGTGTGGATCTTACCCATCCTGCCATTACACAGTGAAAAGAACTTATTGTGCTTTGTTTGAACTACCTGACAAAGTAGTTCTTGAAAGTGAAAGCTACCATTTTGGGATTGACCTCTTTATGTTCAACAGAAGTAGGAGTGGATGAGGAACAACATTGCTGTGCTCTGTTCCGTACACTGTGCAGGTGGTACTTTTTCTAGTTTTAAGTAAGTGTGCTGCTGAAGATAAAGCAATGCATTTTATTAGTTTCTAGTGCCAAACTGAAACGGAAAAAGAATTGGTTTGGAACAACTTTCTACACGGAATTAACTGCAGATGGAGAAATCAAGAAAACAGCAAAATCAAGTAGTTCTTCAAATCCAAAGTGGGATGAACAGCTGACAGTGTAAGTAGGTTTATTTTTTTACTTTTATTTTGATTATTTAGTACTATTTATTGGCCTGACATTGTAGGCAAATATTTACTCAACTTGGCTGCCTACATGACTTTTTTTGGCTTTTGCTGACTATGTACAGACATAAGGTGATGTTTAATGAAAATTCTTTCTCAATGTTTATGATGTTATGAGAATATATATAGTGTTTGTATGTGTGTGTGTGTGTGTGTATTTATACACATACTTTTTTCTTTTTGGAGGAGAGTGTTCCATGTATACAGTTGCTGTCCACAGTATGCCCTTAATACTTGTTTGCACTGTGGACATCTCATGCTTAAAATTCCCCTCTAGGAGATGTTAGTAATTATAATTATGTCATTCTCAACTTTGAAAGGAAGGAATTCACAACTTGTTGAGTAGGTTATGAGGAAGGTCACATTTCCTTTAAACTTCCTAATGAGGGGATATGATTACAAAACAAATTGCTGTAAAGTGGCCGTGTAACTTTTCCTAATATTCAAGCTGCTTAATGTGATAATGGCTGAATTTGGTTTACTGTACTATAGGTGCAGAAATACCTGAATACGACTCTGTGAAGAACTGATAAATCTTGCACAGTCTAGTTGGCTAGAAAGCATTATTGCATAAGCAACACTGGGTCTGGTAACAACACAGCTACTTTCAAAAGGCACTGAGCACTGTACACATTACATTATCTGACCTGCCTTTGTGCAATAGCCAGCTTTGTTAGTTAGAGGAACCTAGCTTGGTTCTGGAAAATGGGGAGCGGCACTGCATACCTAGCTATGGGGAGTCATTTACTTAGTAACACTATTATTTGGTAACTGCAGATCTGTGGTGAACCAGGTAGGGTGTTCCTGTGTCATGTTTCTTGGTGTTTTAGGTTTAGTAGAGCTTATTTAACCCTCTGCAATATTGCAAAACTGAATGGTATAGTCTTAAGCCTAATAATGATTTCCAGGAGTTATTACTAGCACAAGTACAGAGCTATCACAGAGACAAGAGCTGCTGATGAGGAGGAAGGCTTGATTTGGCAGGATTTGGTGACTTGATAGGAATGAAGTAATTTGATGTACATAGTACAGCCAGACAGACATGCCATCATCAGTATTACCTAGGATGTGTTGCTTATAGATAAGGTATTCTGGTCCACTTTTCCTAAGTCTGTTGGAATGGCATTATTGATTCAATTGACCAGTCTCCCTGGGGATAAGTGAACTCTTCAGTTTACCAAATTCCCCTGACCTGAAGGGGCGGTCTGCAAGAGCACCAGCAATGTATTCTGTGTGTATTTTATTTCTTTTTAAATCTGATCTTTTAATAAGACTTCCATTAGAAGGCAGCCTATTCAAAACACAAAAAATATGCTTATAAATTTCTGCAAAAATGATCCATGCTGTCAAATATGTTTGAGTGCCTATAGAGTTAGCTCTAATGATGGGGACTGGGGTCAGTTTTTAGCATTATTTTTAGCAATGCTGGTACACCTTTGCTTTTGTAGTGCTGGCAGGTATGTGACCTTGGGCTTCTTGCGGTACAGCGATTCTGCTCTGTTTTTCACAGCCAGAAGCACTTTTGTTGTAATGGAAACTGTTCTATGAAACTTACTCTCCAGGACCTAACATAGGTTCTTATTTTCCTTCTTGAGCAGGGGGGAGATCATTGCCAAAGTTCGTAATAATATTACTGTAATTGGGGCTTCCCTTCTATTTCCACTATAATTTCTCTATTGGATTTTTTTTTTCCTCTGATTTTTGTGAATATGCATTATGGTTTTATATATATTTGTGGATTCATAAGTAATGTTTTATCAGCACTTTTATAGCAAACTGACAGCTGTGGTGTGGGTTCCTGTTTGCAAGTAGCTGATTGGTTGTATTTTTGTTTCTTTTTCTAATACGTGGTGCTTTTCTTCCTAGTGACAGACAAATTACTTTCACTTACCATCTTTTTATTCACGTGAAATAGTGCAAACTTATAGTTAGAATTCTAGAATAGTGAGGAATAAGGAAAATATATCTTTCAGAAACGAGATATGCTGTTATATAGCTGAGAGTTGAGCTTAGTTTAGGTTATTCTGATACTCCCCAAATTCCTCATGCTACTTCTAGTAATGTACTTTAAGCTTGATCTCAAGTATAGATATTGCAGTGTTTACAGTGCTTTATTAATTAAAAATTTCCCTTTACGTTATGAAAACTTTTTTTCACATAATTAGTATCAAGAAATACAGTAAACATGAGAAAATGAATTAAGGTCAAACATTCCCAGTTAGAAAAATGAATACTTTTAAATCTGTATATATATATTTAAAAATGTATTTTATATGCAGGAATGTGACTCCACAGACTACGCTGGAATTTAGAGTGTGGAGCCATCACACTTTAAAAGCAGATGCTTTATTAGGAAGAGCCACTGTAGACTTGAAACAAGCTTTGGAAATACACAATAGAAAATGTAAGTTATCCTGAAGGATATTTTAAGTAGAATTGTTATTACTAATCTTTATGTCAAAACTGGCAAACAAACTACTAACTATATGTGTAATTACAACTGATTTTCAGTTGGTGTCTTTACTTGTCTCTTCTGGACATGTCTAACTGTGCTATTGAGAACAATTGAAATGTAATAATGAGATATAATAATTTTGAAGCAAGGGACTAAGTTACTACTAAGTAAAAGCAGTAGTAATTAAATAAAATGTTTTGTGGCAAGCTTGAATGTAATTTCTAGAAGATCTGTTTTAATCTTGTTTTTAAAACAAAAAAAAAGTCTAAAGTTTTTTTTACACTGTTTGTTTTTCTTCTTTGAATAAATATTTTTCTCTCATAACTTAACTGTCCAGAGAGCAGTAGAAACCACTGATACAAGAATCAATTGAGAACTTCTTTTTAGTACATTAGTGATTGTTGTATTCTATGTTACTTCTAACATTTGTTGTCTTTAATAGAATTAAAACAGGTCTTCTTTATTTTGCTTTTTAAACTTTTTTTGTGAATACAAGAAGATGGTGAATCCACACTTTAAATTCCACTCCAGAGTGGCAGTAGAATTCCAGCTAAACCAGTATTTTGCACAAGTTCGATACACAAACTTGAAAGCTCAGTTTAGAGAGGTGGAAGAAAAGATAGCTTCTGCTCAGTTTTGCAAAAGCTTCATTTTTCTGATTCTTTGAGAAAATTGAAACAGACCAAAATCCAGTGGAATTTCTCCAGCATACGATAAAGATTCTGCACGGGACTTCATAGTTAAGCAGAAAATTTGCTTATTTTTAAAATAAATAAATAACAAAATCTAAAAGAATATCTCATAGTGAAATGTAATACTATTAAAATAATCCTGAAATGTCAGGATGAAAAATAACTGTAAAACTATTGTTACTTCCTGTATGTTTTTCATGTGTGAAATTTTATGTTTTACCTGTATCAGAAACTGTATTGTAATAATAATATCAAAAAAATATATATATATATATTACTGGAGATTGTACCCAACAGGTACAATCAGGACAGTTGGGTACAGGAGTTGTACCCAACAATTTGGCAGATTCTTTCAGGAAATGGTTGGCTGTGTTAGCTGTATGTTGCACCAAAGTTAATTTACCTGCTGTGCTTCTGATTTTGGTGTGTCAACAGTCCAGCACACTCCGTAATTCAGTGAAAGATTAATCTGGTCACTCAGTTATTGATTGAAATGCAGCAGTTGAAAGGCTTTTTACTGAAGATGTAAAGGGGAAGTCTAAATGCAGAAACTTTAGAATTAGTGCTGTTACTTTCTCCTACTAAACGCCACTAGCCTTGTATTGCAGCCCGCACCCCTCCCAGCTTTTTTGCAGGCTCAGCTGTAGTACAACCGTTGGTCTGATTTTGGAAGGTAACCTTTTAAAGTAACAGAGAGTGAACAAATCACCCATTGCAGTTTATGAATATGCTAGTTTAACAGCTCTGTGGTAGGCTAGTTTCTCCTCCCCCTCCTTTCTCTCTAGACCAATAGATTTGGCAGCTTTGTGCTTACTGCAGCAGTTTACAGTACTGCGAAATCCATCTGTGGAGTCACAGTGGGTGTTTACTAATATCTGCTGCCTGGCAGTATAGAGCTCAGTCTTCTTTTCAAAATAACTCTTAGGATCTCAGTAACATCTTGGGCATATGTGGCAATAACTGATGCTTGCATTCCCTGTTTTTATGTTTCCTATTCATTTCTGATGGTTGTTAAGAACAGAAAACATATGGAAGTGCTGGCTTAGTGCGTGGATCTACAAGTTACACAGTGAGCTTTAACTTTGGCTTGAAATGCTATCAGATTGAGGGATACAGGCTGTTACATCTTGAAAAAATAATCCTTTAATCTGAGACCACAAATACTAAAAGGCCTTTACCATTTTAACCTGATTAGTGTGAACTCAGAGCTTACTTTGTTTAGTTGTCTGACATGTAGTTTTAAATGCTGAACTAGTAATGGTTCATTTAGAGAGAGTTACGCAACATCCACAGCATGTTTAAACTCTGGATTATGTGTCTCTGTCTATACATCTGTGCATTTCTTATCAGTTATATTGAATTATTCTACTGCCTCATTAATGTGTTTTTGGTTTTTTTAAAACTCAAAACAGGAAGGTTTTTTTTGGTGAAAATATTTTCTCATTTAATTTTTGGTTACTTGAGATATTCTCTCTTACTGTTTAATCCTGGGAGTCTATGAAAATGCACTTACTAAAGTTAAAAACAAAAGAAAAAAAAAGGAAAGGAAAGACTGTGCAGTTTTTGTATTTATTCTTTCCTCAAAGTGATGTGCTTTTCTACTGTGTCTTAGAATTACTTTTGGAAGGTGATAAGAGAAATAAGCATAAGCTTAGGTTGTAGAATAAGGTTCCCCATGATTTGTCACATGTAGTATTTGGATGTGTCATTCACAAGTTGTTTAACTTTAAGCCTTCTTGTGTTATGTAAGTAGTGCATGATTTCAGAAGGGCTTAGTGGAAGTAATAAACCTGGGAAATCATTTACAATGCAGTACTGAAATTGTGGATCCTTTTGTATACCTGGAGCATACTGTATAAATAAGCTATTTATTTTTACAATAAACTAGGTGTTTATGTACAGCTGGTCTGAGTTTCATAGCTCCTTAGTGATTTCTATGTTATTCAAATCATCTGGGTATGACATTTTGTATGGATGTATTTTTTGTGCACATATATGTATTTTTTGTTGGCAGTGTTTTTTTAATATTGCTTAGGATTTAATCTTTCCTTTATTCCTCTCTCCTTCTCTTCCCCTACCCACCCCAACTTTATTTGTAGTGGAGAAGGTGAAAGAACAGTTGAAACTATCTTTGGAAAACAAGAGTGGCATGGTGCAAACAGGCGAACTGACAGTCGTGCTCGATGGTTTGGTTGTTGAACAAGAATCTCTTACAAATCTCAGTTCACCAGCAACCAGTAAGTTGAAACAATTCAGTCAATATTTTGATTAATCCTTCAGATAGGTTTAGTAGAATATTTGTACTGATTTTCTTTCCTTTTTTTTTTTTTTTTTTTACTGTTCAGTAGAAGTTCAGCAAAATGGAGAGGCTGTGCATGAAAACAGAGATGCTTCGGCAAGAAATGCATCAAGGTTGGAATTTATTTTTGTATTTTAGACTGTATGTAAAGTATATCAGCAAATTTTATCAGTTGACATTTTTTTTGTTTCTGAAGGTGAGAGATCTTAACTATCAAACTCTTGATTGTTTTACCATAGGTTTTAGAAATATAGTTTGTTTAACAATGACATAATTCAGCATGGCAATAATTAAATTTACAATTCTGTTTTTCCTCTCCTCTTAAAACCTGCCTTCCAATAGTGCATGATTACCTTTTGTATGTGTAGCCCTCTGAAAATAGATTTCAAATGGCTTGAATTTTTTATGAAATCCTGCAGATGAGATTAGGGGACCAGTGCGTGGCACAGAATGGTTTTGTATACTTTGTTCATTTGTTTTCTGGTGTCTTACAAGCAGTTTCTGTTCATGTCTACCAACTTTTTGCAATGTACCATCTGAACGGAAGGAAAAAGAAAAAAGCCTAAATGACTTCCTCCTCACCCAGTTCCTATTTTAAGATTGAGATCAGGAAGTTGTTGAACAGACTTGTACTGTGTTTAGGAGGTAGTATTCAGAATGCTGAGCCAAAGAGTTTGCCAGCTTCAGCCTAACATGGCAAGAAAAAGACTTGGAGATCAATTTCAAGCTTCGTTCTTGAAGCCACCATTTTTATACCAGCTCATGGACTGCAATAGGGGAGTAGGCTCTTTGACTTCTCAAACACTAGTGAGTTGAGTAGGCCAGTGTTCAGATCAATGGTCTCCCAGTTATCTTGCAGTCAATGCAGATTATTTAAGTTTTTTACTTAAAAGATAGTTTGAATAAGTATACAGTCGCTGTGCATTTGAGTGACAGGAACACATTTATCCTTGTACACATGATTATTTTCTTTGTTCCTCATGCAATGAGAGAAGGAGTTATGCTCATAGGTGGTGCTTTGAGATGGTAGCTAAGGCATTTTTGGAAGATGTATGCATCAGTTGCTCCCACTCAAATCTCTAATATCTCATAAAGTAAAGCTGAAGTGGAAATGGGAAAACTTATTTAAGTGTTCTGAAGTTCTTCAGGACTTGTGCCTTATTCTGTAATTGTTTTTGTTTTGCTATCTAGGCTGCAAATGTATAAACTATTGTGAATTTACTTATTTTCTTTATGTATTTCTTTTGTATGCTATAGTGTAGGATTTGAGTTCTGTGCATAACTATTAAATGTGTTTGTACTAATCTAAGCTGATGGTTTTTTATTTTTACCAAGGTCTGCTTGTGATGTTTCTAATGGGAATGACAATCAAGTACCTTCAAACTCTGTAGTTCAGAATGCATTCTGCATTGAAGCTGTTAATGGAAACAACTCACCATCTCCTACACATGTTGCAGCCAGACCCAAAAATACACCTGTACCAAAACCACTTGGAACTGAGCTTGTCAACAGCACTGGTAGGAATGGGAGAATTATAAGAACATTTATGTTACAGCTTTTTGTCTAATCAAAATTAATCTGAAACTGAATAACTTTTTCCGCACTTTTTTAAATTCGATTTCAAGAAATATTGAAAGGATGTCTCTGGGCTTGAATTTATAATCTCGTATTTCCACTCTTTTATTTTTTTGTAATAGATCCATTATTAAGTGTACTAATTTTCATACTTACCTGTGAATTCTCATACTGGATGAAGTAAGAAGTAAAATATCCAGAACTTCCTTCTCTGTCCCAGATTACCAAACAACATTACTGATTGTTGGGAGGAAGACTGAGATTTATTTCATACAATTTATTTGAATAACTCCAGTTAGGTTTCTTTTACTATCGGATAAATCTGCTGCTTAGTGCTGTTAGGAACTGCTGTGCCTAGAGTTAAAATGTAGACACATTTTGCTTTCCATTTTTTGAAAAGCTGTGCTGTTTCAAAACATATATTGGCAAAGTAGTAAATTTCACACTTCTCTTAAACACAGAAACTTTGATACTTATCCTAATTAGGGGAAACATATGGTACAGTAAAAGAATTGAAAAGCAGGTATTTATTTTTGTTCTTCAGGCAAAGCTTTGTATCTGATCATGACTATATTTTTAAAGCCGTTGCCTCAGCTGATTGAGTGAGATTACAGTGACAGCAGAGGAAAAAGATACTCTTAAATAGAAATACGCAAGCTGTTAAGAAACGGGAGAACAGAGGCAGTTAAGCTTCCTCTAATAGAGTGGAAAATATCGGAATGTGGGCAAGATGGTGGAAACAATGATAAACTTTAAATGGTAGTAATTAAATTACGCCTCTGTGAACTGTATCTCTTTTTAGAGAACTTGAATTTGATTCCTCTCTCTTCTCGGTTGAAAGCCAAAGGGCATATATATTATTTAAGTACTGTTCTCTTTTTCTTCAATTGCTAAGAGATCTGTTTTAAATTGGAATTTGGATAGTGTAATTGCAGTAGTAATTGATTTGTTCAAATAGTAATATTGATGAAATCATCACTGAACTTGCACTGAGACAGTTTTCAACTACTGTATTGGTTAGTAGAGGCATTTTTATTTTTAGGAAAAATTAAAATGTGTCTTCAGCATTTGTTGATCGCATGGTTTCTTATTTTTTTTTTCCCCTTGTACTTAGCAGAATTGTAATTTTGTATGATGTTGCCAGAACTGCTGTTTTAGATCTAATTGGTGAGGTAATCAGCTGGTGTATCATAGAATCATCATAGAATCACAAAATGGCCTGGGTTGAAAAGGTCCACAATTATCATTGAGTTCCAAACCCCAGTTATGTGCAGGGTCGCCAACCACCAGACCAGGCTGCCCAGAGCCACATCCAGCCTGGCCTTGAATGCCTCCAGGGATGGGGCATCCACAATCTCCGTGGGCAAAATGTTTTACGTATCTGTTTTGGAGATCAGCTTACTAAAAGTGCTGATGATTTGTCAGTTATTTTGATCCTAATTTAATTCTGCAATTCCATTGATTGTTTCATGTGGATGAGTTGAAATTACTTTTTTAAATGAAAGTTGAAAGCTAAGCTGGCTTTTTTCTATTTTGATAAAGTTGTTACTGTAGTTAACGCAGACATTTAAAGAAAACTGATCAGATTGTAGAAATGATTTTTTTTTAATCTCATGCTTTATATGTTGTTTAAATAATATGAATTCTTGACATATCTTGTTGTAGTTAATCTGTTTTATATGAGCTGGGAGTAGTGATGTATTAGCCTAGAATAGCTGTGTTCATGAATCAGTGCCTTTTACAGACCTTATACCTCTCCTACTGCCTATACAATCATGCTTGTCATTATGCGTTGTAAGCATATATATGTGGCCTAGTGATAATTTCTTAAAGAAACTGACTTGCTATTTTGAATACATTAGTGATTACTGCTTAATTGTGGTGGTTTTTTTTTGTTTGTTTGTTTGTTTAATTTGTGCATGTGTTTTTAAAAGGAAGATGAGATTTACAATTTGCCAATGTCTGTTTTTGCTTTCTGAGAAAGCCAGGAAATGTTGACATTACAGCTATTGCAAGTAGTAAGGGGTCTTGATTTTTTTTTTTTTTATTTGTAAGAGTAGTGTACAGGATTAAAAGAAATGAACTCTTTAAAATGATGAAACACCATTTTATAGGCATTAGGCTAGAATTCAATTTTGCACATTTCTATCAATAAGATTATGAGTGTAGAGAAATCTTAGTATTTTGGATTCTTATTCAGTTCTTAGAATTGGAAGCTTACAAAGTGCTGTCAGTTAGAAAACAACTTGAAGTGTGTGTTGCATATAGTATTTTATCTTGAAGAAAAAGATTTACATCTCTAAAAGAGGAACAAACTGGTAAGCTTAAATATAATTGTCACTGGTTGGTGTTGATTAGGGATTCAGAAAATCAAAGCTATGAATGATATTACACTACTTCACACATTTTAGTGGGTCATATTGACTACTGTACCTGATTTCACTAGTTTGAGGCAAAATCTTGTGCCAAGATATTGTTCTGCTAAGATCTGCAGATGAAGAAGACAGACAATAGCAGGGTGTGTTGTGGCAGGACAGTGGGGGATGGTTTCAAACTGAAAAAGGAGAGATGTAGATTGGATATAAGGAAGATGTTTTTTTGCAGTGAGGGTGGTGAGGCACTTTGACAGTTCACCAAAGATGTGCCCCATCTCTGGAGACACTAAAGGTCAGGCTGGACGGGGTTCTGAGCAACCTGATCTAGCTGTAGGTGTCCCTGTTTATTGCAGGGGAGTTGGACTGGGTGACCTTTAAGGGTCCTCTCCAACTCAAGCAATTCCATGACTGTGACTGGTATTGATGCATTGCCAGCCAGGTAGGCTTAAGAATACTAAGGCCTTCTTAGCCCGTTTTTCCTCCCAAATCTGTCTGTTTAAACCTTCTATGAGATTATGCTTGCATGAATAAAAAAATTTCCCTTGATTCTATTATAATTTTTGTAAATTTTTAGTCTGTATCAATTGCATTAGTATACTGGATCTGCTGGGATGGAGTTAATTTGCTTCATAGCATTTTGTATGATGCTGTGTTTCAGATTTATGAGCAAAACCATGCTGATATCACGGTTATGCTTTAAATGCTGCTGAAGCGTTTCTTCACAACATGAAAACCTTATGTGTTTCTCATTCAGCCTCTTCTTAGCTGATGAACAGATTGGGAGTGCTCAACAGTTTGGGAGTGGAAACATCCAGGCTGATGACCTGAACCAACCAAAGAGATGTTCTTTGTCATACAATGGCATGCTCAGCAATAAAAAGGGAGAGGAGAAAGTTTGGGGTGGTTAGTCATCTTTCTGCATGGGAACTGGATTGCTATCATTCTATCCATGGGAGGTGGTGAACAATTGCCTTCACATCACTTATTTTATTTCATTGTTTTTGTCATCTTCTAAATTTCTTTCCTTCTTTAGTAAGAAAAATATTTCTTACTAAATATTTTTTTATCTTGGCTCACAAGTTTTCTTGCTTTTACTTTGTGTTTTCTCCTCCCTAGTCATGCCGTGGGTGGAAGTGAGTGAGTGGTTGTGTGGTGCTTAGCTGTCTATCATAGTTAGCTCACAACAATTAGCAAAATACAATTTTTTAACACATATTGATCTTGCTAGGGATGCTGGGGTGATTTTTTAATGTGATACACAAGATGATATTTGCTTTATTGTAGAATTTTGTATCTCAACTTCTAAAAGGGTAAAAAAAAAAAAAAAAATCTGTAAGAGCTGCCTCTTTATTTCTGCATTTCATGTAGTTACTTGGCTCACAATACAATACTTTCCTGTCATGCTAATCAAGATATTTTTTTGAAGTTGGTGCAAGTTCTCAAGTAAGGCAATACTGTTTCTTGGGAAGTGAGTGTTTACTTTTTGCTAATCTCAGGAATAAGGTAAATGTTGTATTGAGCAAGATATGCAGGAACTAGGAAATAACCTTCACATGGAAGTATAGAGAATGGCTTGCAGACTGTAAGTTTTAATTACAGCTTTATCTGAAGCTGGTGCGCTGTGACTTTTTGTCATCTTAGGCAAAAGTGTTACTTGTGGCACGTATGTGTGATTTGAATCCAAAAAAGGAATATGTTTAATGCAGTTTACTCCAAAATCTGACCAAAAAGTTTAACTCTTTGGAGTCTGATATGCAAATTTTCTTATTTCCCATTTCTCAGTTAATGGTGAGACATCTTCCTCTGTACCAGAAACTGGTAATTCTTCTGTCTCTGAAGCTATGGGAGGTTCAGAAGCTCCCATGTCTACGGATTGCACTAACACTACAGCAGAACCTCAATCAACGGAAGAAGCAGCTAGCTGTTCTGAAAGCCACACTTCCACGCTGTCTGTTGTGTCTGCTGGACTAGAAGCTTCAAGTACTACAGACTGTCCTCAGCCTACTACCACAAACAGTACAGCAGCAGATGCAGCAAAACCAAGGGAATCTTCCTCAGCCACAAGTGCATCAGGAGAGCCTGTAAGACAACAGACTGTTAATGCTGGCTCAGAACCTTTACCAGCAGGGTATGTGGGCTTGATTTTAACACTATTATTGTGTTTTGTCTTAATGTGTGTACAGAGAAATCACAGTTTAATTCCCTACAGAGGTTGCCAGGGATGGGGTTATGTGATCTAAAATGAGGTTTGTACTATTCTGTAACTGGCTGATAGCTTATGTCCCAGAAACTAGCAGCTGATCATTTATTTTCTGAGACAGTAATGTGATCTAAATAGAGGAATTCTTGGGCATTATGGATATGAAGAAGTTTTATTTGATATATTCAAGCTTACTTGGGTCATAATTCATTGCTGCTTTGGTTCTTATACTGGGGTATGTAGTAGGCAATAAAATATGAAGAAACAAAAATGAAAAAAATAGTCTAGAAATGTAGGTTCTTTCAGTGTAGCTTTTGAACTGCAAAAGAATTTGTAGAAATTTTATGAATAGCAAGTAAGATGTTCTGCCTGCATTTTTAGAAGTAATTATGTTTATAAGAAAAACATAAGTTCTAACACAAGCAAGGTCTTCAGCTCATTGTCTAACATGTTAATGGGAATGGAAATGAGGATAAATATTGCATTATGACAGTCCTCAGCAGCATGAATCTTGAATTGCTCATAATGTTTTATCCATCTTCATTGTAAGAGCTTTGCAACCAAAACTGAAGAAATAGTCCCCAGGAATATCAGGTAGAGATAAAGGAATCTAACAGGACAGAAAGTAGAAACATGGGAGAGTTATCTGCTGCACACATTTGAGGTTTACTCTGAAAGATCCTGTTGTTTATTGGATGAGACATGCTTGGAAATGCAAATAATTTGTTTCTGAATTTTTAAAATGAAGCATCCAAATCTGAAGCAGATAATCACTTTCATTTTTAGATACCTCAAATAGAATTTAGAAGTACTTCTGAATATCAGTGTATGTTCATTTTAGGTTCCATGTCCCTTAAAGAAGACTCTGTGGTGGTACCAGTTCAAGCAGGAAGTAAATGTATTCTATGTGTATTCTAGTGTGCATTGCCTTCTGTGTTTTAGAATGAGGTTTGGATTGTAGGGTGTTCATTTAGTAGCAAAATGGTTTTTTTTGCTTACTGGGAAATAAGCCCTAGGGAAGTATTTTCACCTTGACTTACACGAAAGTCTTTTTTGTCCTGAAGGTGGGAGCAAAGAAAGGATCCTCATGGTAGAACCTATTATGTTGATCACAATACACGAACTACAACGTGGGAAAGACCACAGCCCTTGCCTCCTGGGTACTGTAGACTTTTCTTGATTTAAAGTTGATAATGCTGCTACGTTCTTTTTCTTCTAGTGCAAAACAAACAAACAAACCCTGCTGTATTGGTTTTAATGAGCAGCTCATTGAAAATGTATCGTACATTATAAATTAAGAAATCTTAAAATGCAGTTAGCTTAGAACTGTGTTAATTTCCATAAGAATATTGGTGTACCTGTACGTATTTCATTCTGATCACTTGTTCAAACACAGCTGCTAAATTATGTTGTTCTTCCTTTAAAACTTAAGTGTTAAAATAATGGAGATTTTACCATCTTTAATTAGATGGCATCACTAGTTAGTGCAGTGGTTATCAACCTCAGATTCCCAGGCAGTATTGGATTTTCTGTGAAACTTGCCAATATTGATCATTGTCACAAGAAATTACACAGTAAAAACTGAGGGTGACAGCAGGAGACAAGGATGCAATTGCCTGAGTGTTCACCCAGTGTACTCTGCTCCCCAGCCAGTAAAGCTGGGGAGTGCTTTTGTGTACTTTAGAAATTAAGATCATGCCTATCATTCCAGTACTTCATTCAGATAATATCTAGGATCTTAGCATAAAGAGAAAATGAGCTATGCAATGTTACTGGAAAATTTAGCTGTTAATGTTTGTGTTTTTCTTGATAGCTGGGAAAGAAGAGTTGATGATCGTGGAAGAGTTTACTATGTGGACCATAACACCAGAACAACAACATGGCAGCGACCAACAATGGAATCAGTCAGGAACTTTGAGCAGTGGCAGTCTCAGCGTAATCAACTGCAGGGAGCTATGCAACAATTTAACCAACGATACCTCTATTCGGTAAATTTTATATAAACTTTAGAAACGAGAAGAGAGATATAACTGTACTTCCCTTTGAATTGGTTCCCTAACTTGAGCCATGTGAACTGCATGATACTTAAGACTTTTAATGATAGTAGTAACTGGTAAAAGTAAAGCACTCCTTTAACTGAAAAAGAGTGTAACACCTGGTTTATGAGCACTTCATGTATTTAGTGGTATTCAAAACTTCTTTAGTGATTAGGAGTCTCTCATTGGTACAGGTGGTAGTTCTTTTTCCTTGAGCTCATTTTGAAGCTTAGGGATCTGGTTCAATTCTCGAATTTCAAACATGGCTTTCCATTTCTCTCATGTAGTTGCTTACTTAAATCTACTGGTAAAAACTATCACGACCAGTTTCAAAGACTACATTAGCCTGGAGAAGAGAAAGCTCCACAGAGACCTCACTGTGACTTTTCAGTACTTAAATGGGACTTAAAAAAAATGGAGAGTGACTTTTTACCTGGGCAGATAGTGATGGGACAAGGGAGAACAGTTTTAAACTAAAAGAGGAGAGATTTAGATTAGATGTGAGAAGGAATTTTTTTTTACTTGGAGAATGGTGAGGTGCTGAAACAGGGAAGCTGTGGATGCTCTATCCCTGGAGGTGTTCAAGGCCATGTTGGATGGGCCCTAGGCAGCCTTATCTTGTGGGTGGCAACTCTGTTTACAGCTGAGGAGTTGGAACTAGATAATCTTTAATGTCCCTTCCAACTCAAGCCATTCTGTAAATCTATTATATGAGTTATTGAGACATTTTTCATTTCTGACTAGATAAATAGAAGAGTTTTTTATGTTGGTTTGGTTTTGTTTTTGTTTTCCTCCATGGCACTTGCGTATCACTATTCTAAACTCTTCACTGTAAGACTTGAGTTCAGACTCTTAAAATAAGATCCAGTTCTAGAGACTTCACAATTGAAACACAGCTGGAATGCTTGAAGAAGAAACAACTTCATTTTGACTTTTGGTCTAGGACTGTATGCATCAGAAAGCCTAACTTTCCTCTAAATTTGATAAACCTCTTTCAGGTATCCGCTCTGAAGTAAAGGATGTTGCAGTGCTCTTGTGTTTAACACTTCTCAGCTTTTTGTTACCTAATTAGACATATCACCAGCAATTGCAGAAATATGTATCGCCACTGATTTTCTTCAAGTCCTGTGCTGTGCATCATTTGTCTATTTAACCCACACAACTAGAAAAAGATAGAATGATTGTGGTTAGAAAAGCCATCTTTGTTGCCCTTTATTTGACCCTCTCCAATAGCTGTATATCTCAACAGTACTTCAAGTGCAGCCTCCCCAGTGCTAAGTAGAGTGGAGTGATTACCTCTGTTGACCAGCTGGCAGTACTTTGCAACCCAGAATAAATTTAGCCATCCTAGAGCAGGGACACATTGCTGGCTCTTGTTAGACTTGTCCACTGTGACCTTCAGGTACTTTTCTGCAGAGCTGCTTTCCAGCTGAGTTGCTCCCAGTCTGGATTTGTTCCTTCTTGGGTGCAGGATTTTGCACTCATTCCTGTTTAACTGTACGAGGCTCCTGCTATCACATTTCTCCATTCTGCTATGTCCCCCAGCATGACCTTTTGATGTATTAGTCCCATCACTCTCGGTTTTATGTAATCTGTGAATTTACCAAGGGCTCATTCTGCCTTATTATTTGAGTCATTAATGAAGATATAAAACAATACTGGACCCAGTATTAACTCCTAGAATACTCCGTCTGTTATTGGATTCCAACTAGACTTTCACCACTGACAGCTTCTTTATGGGTCTGACTAACCAGTTTTCAGTCTGTCTTCTCATCCAAAGTGTACTTCAGTGGCTTGTCTATGAGGATCATATGGGGAACAGTTTCAAAGGAAGGCCTTACTGAAGTTTAGGAAGGCAGTGTCCATTGTTCTCATCTATCAGGCCAGTCATTGCATTGTAGAAGCACAGCAGACAGGTCAAATGTGACTTCTGCTTAGTAAATCCACACAGACTCTTTCTGATAGTATTCTTGTCCTTCACATGCCTGGAAGTGGTTTCCAGAATTTCCAGAAGTAGCTGTTCCATTGCCTTCCCAGGGACTGAAGTGAGGCCGACCAGCCTGTAGTTCCCTGGGTTCTCTTTCATGCCTCTTGTGAAGAAAGGCATTTGCTTTCCTCCATTCTTCAAGCGTGTCTCTCACTTGCCATGATTGACTTAAGATTATCAACAGTGGCCTCAAAGTGACATTTGCCAGCTCCCTCAGGACTCCCCTGTCAGGGCTCATGGATTTATAAATGCCTCTGGCCTGATCTGCCTCTACCAAGGGTACATCTTCAGGGGCTTGGACTAGATCATCTCTAGAGGTCCCTTCCAACATCTACGATTTTGTGACCAGAATTTTCTGTGTTCTGTACAACCAGATCTCTTGTCTCATTCAGCAGTGAGCCCACATTTTCCTTAGTCTTCCTCTTGTCACTGATGTACTTAAAGAAGTATATATGTCTTGTTGCTATTGACATCCCTAGTTAGTGTCAATTCTGCTAGGGCTTTGGCTTTCCTAACCTCATTCCTGCATGCTCAAGGGATGTCTCTTTATTTCTTGGAGATTACCTGTTCCTGCTTCTGCCTTCTGTGTGCTTCTTTTTTGAGTTTGAATCTAATGAGAATCTAATTGTTCATCCAGGGAGATAAGGGGATTGTAAACCATTACTTTTTGCTGCTTGAAATTTTTGTGTTTTTTTCCTAGATTTGTTGACTTGTTTCTAATAGGTACTGAAATTTTGCTGAATTCTCAGCTCAACTGAAGTACGCTTTGCTCAAATCGTGCCCTGTCATTATTACTTTGTGCCAATCTGTTCATACTGTTAGAACTGTTAGCTCCTTAGACATTGCCTAAAACATAGGGACACACTTTATCATCATTTTGGTAAGTTGCTTGAGACCAGTATTAATAAAAAAGTGGCAATTGCCATTCAAAATATGTGTGATTTAAGATATGTTGATATTGAATTGCATATTTATAAAAAAGAATAAAAAGATGCTGATTCTTGATTAAAAAAAAAAAAAGCAAACCTTCCATCGCTATCTTTAGAGGAAACTTAAGAAATAAAAAAAGGAGGCATACAGATGACTTAACTGCAAATGCAGTAATCACAGCTGAAGCCAAGAAGTCTCTCTGAGTGACTTTCTCTGCTTTTATACTACTTTGATGAGTTGCTTAAACATCTCAGAAAACTCACTTCTCCTGATCTGAGGTTTATTTAGTTTTTAGTTAGATTTATTCTCTGAGAGAGCAGTGTATTTTTTATTTAGATCATGTTTCTTTATTGATTTAATGATCACTCTTGCTAAACACCATAGATTTATTTCTCACTTTCTGACCTTAGAATCATCAAATTGGAATTGTGAGACAGAACATACTTGAAGGAGGAGAAGAGATAATTGGAGTGTTTGCATCCCATTCACATCTCTTCACAGCTCTATTTTTTAGGTAGCATATCAGTTGCATCCTTAGAACTCACATTTTTGAGGAGAAGAAAAATTGAAATGCTATTGAAGAAAGTATGAGTGTTTGTTGTTTTTTTTTTCCATTTTTATCTTTTAGGTAGGTGCTTCTATACACTTCTGAAACTGTTACAGTCAAATGAGGTAACTTGTCTTCCTCTGACACACCAGAAATCTGCTTATATAGCAGCTTCTGAGTAACATAGTTTATTTTCTGGGAACAGTAATTTAATCCTTTTAATAAACAAGTTAAAATTTCACCTGTCTTGAGTGGCCAAAGATAAGTTATATGAAGGAAATAATAATCACAGCCTTACCGTTCTTATAGTTATTCTTGTTTTTGTTCTTCTTCTTTTTTTTTTTTTTTTTTTTTAAAGTACTAGTGGTACTTTCCTGGAATTGATATTTTTCATTATCTTGCTGTTGTTTTATGCATCCCTTTCTAGCTTCATTCTCTTTTGTTGTGTTGTCATAACAGTAGCTAGTCTTTTTCCTTTCTTATCATCTTTTTCATGGAACATAGCAGCACTATAACTTCATTTACTTCTGAGAAAATGGTAATTCTCTTTTTGTATCTAATAGCTTGATTTTGAGTATATACGTTGCATTTTCTTACGATCCTTGCTCTGCTTCTGTATCACAGGGGAACACCAAAAATACTGTAGCCTTTCCTATGTGAATTTGCTGTTTGGAAACGCTAAGTGGGTTTGAGAATTTTTGTATTGCAAATGTTATTTAAAACTAAAGCAGCACTGGCAGTAAGCTGATCCTTAAGATACTCTGGAAAATCTAGATTGGTTTCCACTTATCAAAATTTAATTCTGTGGAAAAGAACAACATAACTGGGCAAGCGAACTTCACCATTGTAAAGGTTTTAGAGAGAGTCCTTTTAGTTATAAATTAGAGCATGGATCCTGTTGTCACTTCTGCCTTTTATATTCCATTCATAAAATATTTCATACTCTAATCATGCCATATTTTGTATCCTTGGGAGCTACTGGAGGACTTCTGCAAGTTTACAGTACTTTAGAAATTTAGTATGGTTCTTCATGGTATTTTAATCTTTTCTTAAATTATTTTCCCCTTTTAACCTTGCTGTATGTTGGTATTATATAAAAAAAACTGAATGTTTTAATGGAATGCAACTGTTTTGACAAAGAAAGACAAATATTGAAAATAGCTATTGGAAATAGCAGAGAAGACATCATCTACTGAGAATATGAAAAAATACATAAATTGGCATTAGACTTTGTGTTTTAACACATACTTTGAATTTTTAATTAATAGTAAAGTGTTTTCTTAAGCAAGAAGTACACATCTTTTCATATAACTTTCATGAACTGCACAATTTTTAAAATCACTGGCTCTCTCAAGTTTACGATAAGGAGGGAAAGTATGGTATGTAGGTTGGAAACAGTGGAGGCAAGGGAACAAATCATAAATTGTCACACAATTATGTTTTTCCACCAAAACAGACTAAAAATAGCATGCTATCCAGGCGGTGTGGTCTTCACAGCTAGTGGTGAACTTTAAACATATTATGGGAAACAATTATGACTAGTATTTGGCCTAACTGGATGTACTCTTGTTTATAAATAGGCTTCGATGTTGTCAGCAGAGAATGATCCACTTGGGCCTTTGCCACCAGGGTGGGGTAAGTTAATTAGCTGTTGACTTCAGGAGACGACAGTTAGAGAAATTTGGAATGCAATTATTGTATAGTTTGTGTGTGTGTGTTTGTTTGTTTGTTTTCTCTTTCTCCCTAGAAAGGAGAGTGGATTCAAATGATAGGGTGTATTTTGTAAATCATAACACAAAGACAACACAATGGGAAGACCCTCGAACTCAAGGGTAGGTGTGTATATTCACTGTATAAATGAAAAGATCTTGCTTAATTATCACTTTAAAAGTCATGATATGAGCAGGAGGCAAAAATTACTGTCTTTGTTTTTTTCCTGCAGTTTACAAAATGAGGACCCTCTTCCGGAGGGCTGGGAAATCAGATACACTAGAGAAGGTGTACGATACTTTGTTGATCATAATACAAGAACTACCACCTTCAATGATCCTCGTACCGGGAAGTCTTCTGTGTAAGTGAGGAAATGTAAAAGTATTTTCTAGCTTTTTCATTTGTTACATTTCAATGATGCAGTTCTTCTCATACTAGAAAACAGTCTATGCTTCTAGCTAGAATTGAGCAATAAATTATAAATGCGTTGTTTTCTTGTAAACCTATTTTCAACCTTTAATTGTCAATTTCTCTGTGCCACGCTTCACCGTACTACTGTAAGGTTCAGTAGTTTTTATTCACCGTTCAAATACGAAGATTGTAATTGCACTGTAAATTGAGAAAGGAAGTGAGGTAAGCTAGTACATCATAAATTCAACTAATATAACTAATAAACAATTTTAATGGAAACAACACATGATTGTAAGATGTGTTGCTGTTAGTTGTACATGCTCTAATAATATTAATAGCTAAGCAAACAAGTTCTGAATACTTGTCAAAATTTTACTTGCAGATCTTCTGTTTCTAAATAGGTTAATCAGAAGTGTTGACCCAGCTGATGGTGTCTGTCTTAATGCCTTTTGTGTACAGTAGCATTTATGGAGCTTACCTTTGATGTGTCAGTGGCATTTCCTCCAAAGAACCTGTAGATCAGTGTACTATAAATTTCTTCTTGGTTCCACAAACAGCTGAAGCCTTTATAACCTATGTTAACCCCTAGTGATTATGATGTGATTAAGATCATACTGCAACCTTTCTCTCGGTGAAGACAACATAGTAGATATCTTTCCTTTATCTGGCTTTTAATTTTTACAAAATTGATAGATATTTGAAATACTCAGAATCTGTACCTCCTAAATTGATTAGTATCTTTAACAACAACAGCAAAAAGGTGTTGCAGTGGTGAGGACAGGAAGACTGGCCAACCAAACGTTTTGTTTATTTGGGAAATAATACAAAAACAAGCTGGGGCATGTACTAAGAATTTCCATTTGTGATCGTATCTTATGATTGCAATCTTTTGTGCATTTTTGAAATCTGCAAGCTTTTGTTTGGTATTGAAAGTTCTGTTTGATGTCTGTATGGTTAATGTATCTCAAATATATTCCCTTACAGAAATAAAGGGCCACAGATTGCCTATGAGCGTAGCTTTAGGTGGAAACTTGCTCATTTCCGTTACTTGTGTCAGGTACTGATTAAGTAATTACTTAGTTTTTGAGTCTTTTTGAATTTTCATACGTGTATTTTATGCTTTGTAACATTATTGCTTTATGGTTACAGTCCAATGCACTGCCAAGCCATGTGAAAATCAATGTATCCAGACAGACTTTGTTTGAGGATTCCTTCCAGCAAGTAAGACTACAAAATTTGTTATGTTTATAAGCTGAAGTTTTTCAGCTTCAGTCTGTAGCCAATTATATTCCTTCTTCTCTGTAGTGATCAAAATGCTTGATGCCCTTTTTCCATCAAAGCCTCTTTTAGTAGGGTCCTCTATAAACTAAAAGTGTATTATCAATGAAAGTATATTTCACTTTAGATCAGAGGAAATCATGTTTTTAAGTTAGTTGTCTAAACTTCCAAATCTATAATATGTGAGATGAAAAGCCTTTTTGCCAATTTTCCTTTAAGATTGGCAGATATTGTATGCCTTTGGAAGAGTATAAGAACAGGGCAACCATGTAGTGATAATTTCCAGATAAGCTCTTGCTTATCTGCTGCTCAAGGATTTTGAATCTGAGTTGGCATTTTTGTGTTCAGTTCCTTGAATGCATGTTCTAAGAGTTGATGTAATTGCTTTTCAAATCTTTGTAAATATTTGTCCTATATGGTGTATCTGTAACAACTAAATCTAAATTTGAAGGAGCAATTGCACTGAAAATACATCAGTTATAATTTAGTATGAATTTTATTGTTTTGGTAGATTATGGCATTAAAACCCTATGATTTGAGGAGAAGATTGTATGTTATATTCAGAGGAGAAGAAGGATTGGATTATGGTGGATTGGCAAGGTAAAATAAAATTTATTTGGAAGTGTTATTTTTTCCTTTTTTTTTTTAATGGCATTCTAATCTTGACTTCTGATGTCATTCAGAACATAACTGCTTGCTTTTACAGTCTTGTCTTGGTTAGTTCTCTGGCTCCCCTTAATGTATTAAGGAGGTAGAACTGGCAGCTCTGGCAGTTGTTATGAATACAAATTATATTAGTAAAACCATGATCTCACTTCTGTTCACTGACAAAGACTGATGCTTACATTGGATTCTATTTTTTTTGGAGCCAGTAAATTTCTCTAGACAGAGTTATTTCTGAAAGTTTCTACCATAAAGTTCAGCTTTGTTGAAAGTAGGGATTGTGGAGTACATAATTTTGCATATTTAGGAAAAAATCAAACAGACAAATACCAGATTAGGGGCTGATATGAGCAGGACAGCTGTGAGCTAGGTGAGAGCAGTGTAGGTGTGAAGTAATGGTGGAGGACTTTGCAGGCTGTGTAGGAATATCCAAAAGCTAGAGCACAAGTTTTTCTAGAATCTGAAGTGGATTCAAAAGAATTTTAACAAGAAAATCATAGGTAAAGTGCATTTCCTTTGTTGTCCGTGTAGTGGATAACCACTGACTGCTGCAGCCAGTTACTTGACTGAGGTGTTGCTAGTAGGATGAAAAAGTCAGTTAGCACTGTGGGTCCACAGAACATGATGTAGTGGTAGGTGATAGAGATTTTCTTTGCTGTGTGGTTTTTTGTTGGTTTTTTTTTTCCTCTCTTTTTAAAATGAGTTCTGTTTTGGTTTTGTTCTGTTTCCAGCTGACTTACTCTGTTCAAATGTGCAGTATTTGTAAGTAAGGAAACCTTTTTTGTGAACACTGAGCTTTTTTTTGGATATGTGTATGCTCATGTTTCTGAATTACAATATTACAAAAATGTTTTGGAGGACTGCAGGAAGAATTTTTTTTTTCCCATGAGTTTTGTTTTGTTTGGTGTTCCTATGATGTTGACTCTGGGCTTAAGCTGGGAACCAGGAGAGTTCAAGCAACCTGTTCCAGAGAAACAGAATTATTCCAAAGAAGAATAATTGAACTTAAGATTATCAGTCACAAAATATGGCAGAATAAATTAAGAAAAGAAATATGCAAGTAGTAAAATTCCATAGATTTTGTAATAAATCTTACCCAAGACATGGGATGTGAAGTAAAAAACAGCAAGGATCTCCTTGTAATTCAGCTGAGAATTCTTAAAAAAGTGCTCATGTACTGACTTGCTAATGCAGTACTGTGTTAACACAAGTATTGAAAGCCAGTGCACCTGATTAATCATCCTGTCTCTTAGCAGGCTAAACTCTGTGTGTGTTCTCTCCAGATTTTTACCTTGTTCGGCAGGACCAATCTGAATGCTTTATCGTATGGCTAGTTCTAGCTGTTAACATGAGAAAGATGTTGCTTCTACAAATTTCTTGCTGATGACTAATTTCTTTGTTTCTTTCCTTGTTATCTGGCTGTGATATAAATTAAAAGCTTATTAAATATGATACTGCTATACAGAGTTAATATAATTGTCTCAGTACAAAACTTGCGTGGAATGGTGTACAACAATTCTTGTGCTTATTAAAAGATGCACAGAACCCAATTAGGGCTGTTTTATCCTAGCTGCCTTTCTCTGTTTATTCTTTCTAAATAGCCTTTGAGCTAGAAGCATATTTTATCAAATTGTGATCCATTACTTAAGTTTCACTGAACTGTCAGGAGAAACACATCTGCAAACCTCTCATTTTTATTTCCCAATTTCAGGTAAATACAGGGATAGGAAAGACACCTCTGAAATGTGACAGCTGAAAGACGGTCAGAATAGAATTCTGTTTTTGCAATTATTACAGGATAGACCTTTTTCCTTTTGCAGCTTTTCATAGAATCACAGAATCACCAAGGTTGGAAAAGACCTTCAAGATCATCCAGTCCAACCATCCACTTATCACCAACAGTTCTCACTAAACCATGTCCCTCAACACAACATCCAAACGTTCCTTGAATACCTCCAGGGTCAGTGGACTGGGCAGCCCATTCCAGTGCTTGACCACTCTTTGAGAGAAGTAATATTTCCTAATGTCCAGCCTGAATCTCCCCTGGCGCAGCTTGAAGCCATTCCCTGTAGTCCTATCACTAGTTACAAGGGAGAAGAGGCCGACCCCCAGATCACTAAACCTCCCTTCAGGTAGTTTGAGAGAGCAATAAGGTCTCCCCTGAGCCTCCTCTTCTCCAGACTGAACAATCCCAGCTCCTTCAGCCACTCCTCATAAGGCCTGTGCTCCAGACCCCTCGCCAGCTTTGTCGCCCTTCTTTGAACACGCTCCAGGGCCTCAATGTCTTTCTTGCAGTGCGGGGCCCAAAAGTGGACACAGTACTCGAGGTGCGGCCTCACCAGAGCTGAGTACAGGGGGACAATCACTTCCCTGTTCCTGCTGGCAACACCGTTTCTGATGCAAGCCAGGATGCCATTGGCCTTCTTGGCCACCTGGGCACACTGCTGGCTCGTGTTCAGCCGGGCATCAATCAATACCCCCAGGTCCATTTCCTCTACACAGTCTTCCAGCCACTTCGCCCCAAGCCTGCAGCGTTGCCTTGGGCTGTTGTGGTCAAAGTGCAGCACCCAGCATTTGGTATTGCTGAACCTCATCCTGCTGGCTTCAGCCCAGCTATCCAGCCTGTCCAGGTCCCTGAACCTTTTCCATAGCCCTTGCTTTTCAGTTTCAGGGTCTTGCTTGTGTTTAGGGTCTAATATTAAAATACTTGAGTATATGTCTGCACTTCAAGTCTCTGGTTATATAAAAATGCTCAAAGTGACAAACATTTTAAACATCAGCTATCTTGATACAGAAATACCAGATCTTATTATAATTTCAGGTCAGCTGAGTTGGAATCTATGAAACCAGGGAATGAAATGTATTAAGCCTCAACAAAAAAGTATTTTCACATCTTTGTGTCCTGTTGGCTTAACTGATGCACGGTAATTTGTTAAATTGCTGTAACTCAGTGTCTGTTTTGCTGACAGACTGGGAACGGAAATAAGATGATGTTTGATCTTACCTGGATTATTCAGAACTTTTTAAATAGAGATTTGAGTCATGTGCAGCAAAGCAGGCATGGTGAGGGTGGATTCTGTGTAACTCCTGGGCAGCTAAAACCTATGCTATGAGAATGTTCAAGGTGAGAACAATCATTTCTAAGAGCTGGAAATGGTGACTTTGTAGCATTATAGTTCTTATGGATTGATAGTTTTTATATTTAAAAAGTGCTTAAATCTTTATATTTTTCTACAACACTGTTAATATTATTTTTCCAAGTTTGCATTTATTTTGACCATTTCATTACATGCTTAAAGGGAATGGTGATAAAGATGTGTAGATGTGTATTTGATGTTTTTTATGTGTATACCTGTTGATTTTTTTTCCATAGAGAATGGTTTTTCTTGCTTTCCCATGAAGTACTGAACCCTATGTACTGCCTATTTGAATATGCTGGCAAGAGCAACTATTGCCTACAGATAAATCCAGCGTCAACAATCAATCCTGACCATCTTTCATATTTCTGTTTCATTGGGCGTTTTATTGCCATGGTAGGTTATAGTTTTAAAGTTTTATTGTTTCTTGTATTTATACAATTATTTCTGAATGGTATTATTTTTACAGTTTTAATTTAAGCAAATCCACCTGAAATGTTTCCTGAGTGTTATGTTTCTCAAATGCTGAATTTTCCTGGGATGGTGATGGAAATGAATATGAAATTCAAAATAACGCTTTAATTTTGTCAATTACATGTGTGTTGTTCTTCATGTAAACAGTTGCTTTATTGTTCAAATATTGATGGTCTGACAAATGTGACTAATATTTTCGTAGAAAGGTTCCTCAGTTAGACTTGGTACATATTGATGTGTTAGAAAAAGTGTGCTAAAAATGTTTTGCAAGTACATTGTGTCCAAATATGTGTTTAAATTAAGGTTCAGAGCTCACATAGTGGAAAAGCAGAAGCTTGCAGGGGAGTTTATAGCATCCTGAATCACTACCATTATGTTTCTCTTAAAGCTATAAGCTAAACAGAGATGTTATATCATTTCTCCTTGTATCAGTGAGCCAAGTATCTCTAAAGGAGTCTTGCTGTAACATATTCTTCTGCCTAGAGATAGAGGAAACTGCAATGCAGGAAGATACGGTAAAGCAAATTATGTGCTAGAATCAAATTCTGTTTATTTTTGTAGTGATTTTTGTTCATAGGCATCATAGAAATGCTTTTTAATTGAGAAATTTACCTCATTATAGAAGAGAATTTAATTCAGGTATTTAAAGGCATTAAAAGTCAAACTTCTCTTTCTTGAAGCCATTTGATATTTTCATTTTACATTCTCTAAGAAAAAGAGAGACTAGTATAATAGTGCCTAATGTAGATAGTTTCAAGGTTTGAATGGCACTAACTGCTCTACTTCCTAGAATACCTTCTAATGGCTTAAAATAGCTCAAGCAATAACCTAAATGTGAATCATTTTAAGGATTCTAGATGGTTGTAATAAGTGCAGTTATAACTTCTGTTTGTCTCGGAATTCCAGAAGACTTGCTGCTTTCAGATCATAAAAACTTCACTTGACTTTAAGTATTGAAATAGCCACAGACATTTTTGACTGCAGTGGAGTTAAATGTAAATATATGTCTTGTATTACTCTGTGTTACTCTCTTACTTGCGTTACTCTTAACAAAATAAAATTGTTAAATGGCAGTTGATACCTGCGTGCTACAATTGTTATGTTTGCTGTAAGATTACCGTAGCTATTAAATGAGATGATTTATGACTGTACTTTTACAAAAACAATACAAAACAAACAACAGGAAATCATATGGCTGGATAATGCACTCTGTTTATTTTGTCCAGTTCTACCAGTTCACTCTCCCATGAGAATTCTAGACTAGTTTAAAAGTAAACAAACAAGAAAAAGCCTTCATGCATGCTAGAATAATCCAGAATAATCCTTAGAGGGGAAGTGAGAATGTAGTGCAATCAAATGGAATGTTGTCTTTTTCTGGAGAAAATGGGCTGTTATTTACTCTGGTTCTTCTTCTTACTATTTCAGCTTTAAGGAGAGTTAAGCAATAAATGCCTTACTGCAGCCTGTTTTTAGAATGATTTAGAATGTACTTACAGCCCGGAAGGCTGATATTATCCTGGGTTCCAACAAAAGAAGGGTGGCCAGCAGGATAAGGGGGGTGATTGTCCCCCTGTATTCTACCCTCGCGAGGCCCCATCTGGAGTACTGATTCCAAGTCTGGGGCCCCCAACACAGCAAACATGTGGAGCTTTTGGAGAGGGTCCAGAGGAGGGCCATGAAAGTGATCCAGATGCTGGAGCACCTCTCCTGTGAAGATAGGCTGAAGGAACTGGGCTTGTTCAGCCTGGAAAAGAGAAGGCTGTGAGGAGACCTCAGTGCAGCCTTCTAATATCTAAGGGGAGTTTATAAAGATGAGGGAAATCAACTTTTTACATAGGTAGACAGTCATAGGACAAGGGGGAATGGTTTTAAACTGAAGGAAGGGAGATGTCAGGGGGAGGTTTCCTACTGAGATAATGGTGAGGTGCTGAAACAGATTGCCCAGAGAGGTTGTGGAAGCCTCCTCCCTGGAGCTGTTAAACAGGCCAGGTTACATGAGGCCCTGGGCAGTCTGATCTAGTACTTGATCTAGTGGCTGGTAACCATGCCTGTTGCAGGGCAGTTGGAACTTCGTGATTCTTGGAGTCCCTTCCAACCCAAGCCATTCTGTGATTCTCTGATTCTATGATTTTTAAGAGGTATTTCAGTGAAGAATGTATAGTGGATTAGGGTGAGACAAACTAATAGAACACAGGTACTACTGTGAAAATATCAGCTTTTGGGAGCACCAAGTCTGTATAGAAGTTAATACTGTGTGTATGCAGTGATGTTTGCCTAATATTGTGATTCAGCGCTGCTGACTGGGTCACATCGTGTGTGTGTATGTAGTGAGGCATTTTTTTTAGTGTGATTTTTGATAGGAACAGTCTAATTTCTCTCTCTTTTTTTTTTTTTTTTTTTTTCCTATAAAGAAGGTAATTCTGAAAGCTCTTTCAGAAACATCAATAGCATTTTTAATTGTTTTTACAAGCTGCAGTAGCATTGTGTAATGGATGATTTTGCAGGATGTATGCACATAGTGAAAATGGTCAGTAGTATTCAGGTAGGATCAAAAAACATGCTCAAGTAGGATTAAGTAACACTTGGCATACATACCTATCCACATAATAAGGAGAAAACATAGCAATTCCCTCATAAAATGGCTATATTGTTTTATGAAATGCTTTTTTATTGTATGCTTGGATAAATTTTGTCAATTAAAAACTTAACTGCTCACTTAATGTAACATTGTTTTTGTTTATTTGTTGAAGTACAGAGCTGCTACTCCTGCTTTTTATCTCTTGAAGGAGAAAAGAAAAGAATACAAGTCCAGCAATTCAGCAATTCAATAAAAGCTAAACAGACTTTTTTTTGTTTGTTTCAACAGGCATTGTTTCATGGGAAATTTATTGACACTGGTTTTTCTTTGCCTTTCTACAAACGAATGCTGAGCAAGAAACTTACTATTAAGGATCTAGAATCTATCGATACTGAATTTTACAACTCACTAATTTGGATAAGGTTTGTAGATTTCTTTTTTGGAATTTTTATGAATTTTTCTGTTTTAGTATTTATTGTAGCCTGTTGTATTTTTCTTTCTTTTCATTCCTTCAGGGATAATAACATTGAAGAGTGTAACTTGGAAATGTACTTCTGTGTAGATATGGAGCTCTTAGGAAAAGTAACCTCACATGAGCTGAAATCAGGAGGTTCCAATATCTTGGTTACTGAGGAGAACAAAGAAGAGTATATCGGGTAGGAAGGCTTAGATTTCAAAGAAAGTGTTTCATGTTTTAACTGTTGCTTTAGTATTTTATGACTCAGCATTGTTATTATTGAAATGCTATCTTGGTACTTGTGGCATCTTGGTGGTTTTTGCTCTTTTCTCTTTTTCCATTTCCTTCCATTTCTCTCATGCCACAAAACCTCCTGCCCTCCATCCCCCCTCAAAAAAAAAAAAAAAAAGACAAGACGTGTTAACAAGATGAGGACCTATATTACTGTATTATTACTACTCTTACTGTACATGTAACGTGAGAACAGCTGAAACTGAAAATGAGCAAACCTATTTTAATTAACTTCTCATAATGGAAAGAAATGTATTTGAAGATTTCAAAATTGTCACTGTGGTAACTTGAAATTGAGGATGGTGTATAGCGTGGCACAATGGTGTGTAACTTAAACTGGTTTTTTTTCTTTGTTTTGTTGTACTGCTCTTTCCTGCTTCTTTCCTATGACTGTCTTTTGTTTTGAACCCCTTTCTGATCAACTTGAGTGATCTCTGAAGAGCACGTACAGAGATCTTTTTCTGTGATAAAGCATATGTTCCATGCTGCATATAAAGTTCTCACCTTAAATTAGTAGTCTTTGGTTTTGCAGTGAAATAGTTTCTATAGTATGTACCTATATTTACTGTCACTTTCTTATACTCAGAAATGGCTTGACTATTTTAGTTGAAACTTGAAACAGACGTGTTACCTCTTCCTTCTAAATCTTAGCATAAGTCAGATGTTTGGAACAGAAAATGACTACTCCTTGCTGAAGCTGGAAGTATTGGGAACCATAGTTATAGCTATTATAAGCAGCAGTGTTACTGCAGTATATTTTAAGATTAGTGGAAATTGTTCTTTTTGTCCATTGAAATGCTAGAATTATACACTTCAAAGCATAAGCAAATTTTGCCATAATAAAATCATAGTGCCCAAGTACCATCATTTTCAAGAAATAATTACTGAATTTAGATGAATGAAAGATTTATAGTAATAAATCTTTTTTGTTGAATGGGAACCTAAAGAACATCGTGCTGTTGTTACTGTCCTTTGAACTTGGAGATTTGTAATAGTATCAGTATGCTAACTTCTTTATAGGCTGCAGATTCGTACAGTGTGAGAAAGTAAAATAGGAGGGCATATTGCCTCACTGGGCCACATCCATAATTATGTACGTTTGAACTTCTTTATATTGAGTGCTAATTGATGTTTTTTTTCTTTTTTCCCATCCCAGGCTCATGGCTGAGTGGCGATTTTCTCGGGGAGTTAGAGAACAAACCAAAGCTTTTCTTGATGGTTTTAATGAAGTTGTTCCACTACAGTGGCTACACTACTTTGATGAAAAAGAGCTGGAGGTAGGTTTTCTGTTCAGCATTTTTACCTTCTGTAAAAGTAGAATGAATTAATGAACAGCCAGCTTGAAGTTCTCACTTGTGGTCTACTACATTTTATACCCTGTGGGACATGGAGAATTTAATAAGAGGCAAGGGTAAATCACAAGACAGTATCCTTATTGAATCTGGGCTTTGCATTGTCCAGTGAATGTGAATTTTAGATTCTTTCTTCCATTTTGACTGTGTTTTGCAAGCTTCTATGAAAGAATCAGAATATGAGATCACAGATGGATCAATTTGTGTTAGAAAACTTTTCCCTCTAGAGGACAGCCTTTTAACAGGTGGCACAGGAGTTGATTCTGGTGTGTGGCGATTGCTTGGTTTGATGTGCATAATCTGTGGTAGATTCTAGGATTATTACACCAACAAGGTTTGATACTAGATTTTGTAGATCCTTAGTACGCAACCTGAGGGCTAATAACAAGTATCAGTTGCACACACAGCTTACTTAAAAGTCAGCCTAATCTATGTGTCCTGTTAAGGTTCCGTTTTGAAGCAGGGACAAAAGGTTTTGAAGTAGCAGGCTTATTTATTACTGAGAGACTTGCCAAGGCTGCCTGTTTATAACAAGCAGTGTTTTGAAAGCCTTTTAGGAGGCTTTGCCTTTAGGATTTTCAGCTTTCATTGCTTCTAATAGTGATTATTTTATGAACTTAAACTTTGCAGTGTATTTTATCTTTTCTTATAGTAGTAGCAATGTAATTGTCATCATCTTGGAATATGAGGCAAGATTTTAACGTGAAAGGTATTGTCCTTAATGTTGAACTTCCTCTTATGGGAAAGGTTGTATGTTTTATTATTGAATTAGGAATTGGAAGAAACCTCAGTTTCCAATATGTAGACTTTCAGATCACATAAAAACACAAACAATTTTGGAGTTCTGCAAACTTAGGATAAAGAAAAATCTAATTATGCATAAAATTGAAAAAAATTGCCAGTCCTTTGTTTGGAACAAGAATCCATGTTTTTGTTAGCATGTCTCATACAAGATACTAAAGCAACTCTTAATTTCTATGTGTACCTGTGTACATTGTCAAGTATCATTGTCTTTTGTAGGTTATGCTCTGTGGTATGCAAGAAGTTGATTTAGCAGACTGGCAAAGGAACACTGTTTATCGTCATTATACAAGGAATAGCAAGCAGATCATGTGGTTCTGGCAGGTATATTTATCAGCAAAACTTCCAACTTTGGGATTTTACTCTGTTTTCTAACACAAATGACATATAAAGGGGAGGGATGACATCTGAATGAAGGCTCTCACTTACTCCTTTCTTTTTTTATTTTTTGAGAAACAAGGAGTTCTTGAACATAGCGTAGGGTGGGAAATGGCAGTGAGATATCTGCATCAAATTTGAATGGCTGAATCAGAAATACTTATTTTTATATCTTGTCCTTTTAATTGATTGTATTAAAGTACAGTTTTTTTTCTATTGTTGGCAGTGATGTACTTTCTAAATGTTCATAATGTAGAGTACATCAGAACTGCCACACATTATTTATGATTATCAACATATTAACTGTGCCAGTCTAGTGCTGACCAATTATAACTCACATTTTAATTGAGTTAGCTAAGAATTATTTTCAGAAAAACAAAAAAACGACAAGCAGAACAACAGCTGCCAGGAGCTATGAGTTTCCCTGGAGGGAACTCCCAGCTAGGCATTGCCTGTCTTGTGATAAATCACAATTTGAAATAGACTTTTGATAAAGTTTTTCTAAAAATGATACAAATCAATTATTTTTAGCTTATCTGTGTGTTTTCAGTGCAATGGAAGATTCAAGGATACGATTTCTCAGGAAAAAAAATTGATTAAGCTCATTACTGAAAGATTCATGATCATTGTGTTTTAGTGCTTTAGAAAGAAATAAAAACTCTTCATACTTTGCTGATAGCTGTTGCCAGCTTTCATGTTGTAACAGTCAATAGTGCATATAATCTGACATCAGTGTCTTTTTTCCCCCACCTTCAATTTTATTGAAATGGAGACAGATGAGCTTTTCTCAAAGTTTCTTTTGAAATGGAATTATTGTGTTTTCACAGTCTTGTAAGTTTTTTGTTTTCTCCAGCTTTGTCCAAATTTTTTTTACTAAGTAATTTGAATCTCTGCACCTAGTTTGTAAAAGAGACAGACAACGAGGTTCGCATGCGACTTCTGCAGTTTGTCACTGGCACTTGTCGATTACCTCTGGGTGGATTTGCTGAACTTATGGGTAAGTGAAGAATGACCCAAACTTTTAGTCTGTAACTGTTCCATTTGTAAATGAACCAGGCTGTAAGTGGATGCCAGGAATTTCTTGTACATCAGCTTGGTTCTATCAGGTTTTTTATATCAGAAATCACATGGAATAACTTTATAAATGATTAGGAAATAAGCTTATTTCTATTAGCAGAATATTCATATTCATGTAACAGGTAGCACCTGATAATTTCTGAGTGCTTTATCTGAATTGTTTTATGTCCGACAGCTGTGTTGTGTGTTACTTCAAAGGAACAGATTACAGTTATTTTAATTTTATTTTCTAGGAAGTAATGGTCCTCAGAAATTCTGCATTGAAAAAGTTGGTAAGGAAACTTGGTTACCAAGAAGTCATACTTGGTAAGTTGTTAATTGTAAACTTTCTGTAAACTTCAGTGGTTTCTCTATTCTGGTCTTGCATTTGCCAAACCAAAAGAAATGTAATTTGAATCATTATCCATCTCTGTCTTCATTTTTGATTGCTCTGACATGCCAATACTGAGAACTTAATCTTAAATTTTGTTACTGCAACCTTGTGACATTAATATTCATTGTACTTTTAAAACTGCTATCCGGAAGATAACTTTGGGAAGACACAGAATGGAACAGAATTGTGGCAGAGGGTTTTTGGAGCCAAGCTTAAGGAAAAATTAAAACTTATTTCCAGGCATGTGTAGAAAGGATAAGGCTTTGGCCTTTTCATGCTGCTGCTGGAATTTGGAGATGTATCAAATTAAATTTCTTGGTAAACATTTCCTCTTATGAGTATTACAGTTCTCTGCATCTCAGTAAAAAAAAAAAAAAAAAAGAGAGAGAGCTTTCATAAGACTTCAAAGGTCCTATTTCTTAATCTGGTGTGATACCAGCCTTTTGTTTCTAAATGCATTGATTTAAAACTTTGTTTTTTTCTGTTCATAGAAATGTTAAGGAAGTGAAATGGCATTAACTGATACTTCATTTCTAATTGCTACACTGGAACATTTTTAACTTCTTCTATAGAAGTCAAGTAGTGTTCTATATTGCATTTAGATAAACTTAACAGAGTTTTTTTGTTGTTTTTTTTCCCCATGCTCAGTTTTAATCGTTTGGATTTGCCACCCTATAAAAGCTACGAACAACTGAAAGAGAAGCTGCTCTTTGCCATTGAAGAGACGGAGGGATTTGGTCAAGAGTAGAAGCAGCTTCTAGTCCAGAAGGAGACTTTGCATATTAAAAGGCTCAGCCAACTAAAATTGCACACTTAATTGTATATAAGCTTTTTGTTCTGTACAGTGATCTTTCTGGAACTCTAAAAGTAGAATTGTTCTCCGTTCTTCCACAAAGATATGCAAAACAGTTCAGCCTTTTCTACTTTTATTTATTGCCCTTACAAAAGACCAGAAAAATCCCTCCTAAATGTTGAAAGCAGACAAGAGTCTTATTTAAAATATATATTAAAAATATAAATATATATACTAATAAGCTCTAGTTTTATAGAGCTTTAAGTGTATGAAAAGTTGCAGCCATTTAAAAGGGCCTGGATTTGCTTTATCTTGGCTTTATTATTTAGAAAAATGTTTAAACTGCTCTGTGTTCTCTCTTAAGAAACATCTCCAAGTTTGTTTTATTGCATGGCTGTTCTAAAAGGTGTTAAAGGCTTAGGCCAAACGTATCCTAAATATGTAGAAAGATGCTGCTGGTATTTGAGACGACAGAATATGATGTTCTGTCAGTTTAATTTTTTAAAATACATTAATAGCTGGTATATCTCTCTTTACTACACTGATGTAGCCAAGGTCATTAATAAAGCCTTTATTACTTGCACAAGAGTAATGTACAATAAGATGAATGTGATTTAATGTTGAAAAGAATTGGTGCCACTGTTCTGACTTGTTGTAGGAGCTGAACAGAATATTTTGATTCATTTGAGCAGCATTGAAATTTGTTTACATATTGCCTTGGGTTATTACCACGAGGATGTTAGGTAATCTTCAAAGAAAAAATAATAATAAAAGAGAAACTATTACACATTTTCTCCTTGGTCTGTTGTCTTACAGGTTTTTTATTTTTTATTTTTTTTGATCTGTGATGTGTTTTTCACAGCTTCATAGAGTTATTACTGTAAACTGAGATATAAGGGTAGACAAAAGGTAATGTGAACTTTGCTGCTTTCTATACTCATGTTCAGTTTCTGTTATTGGATCTAGTAAACCCAAATAAAATTAAATTGACATAAGCTTTGCACAGTTAAAACTATTTTGAAGTAGTAAATACTCTTATTTCTCTTAAGTTCCTGTAGAAATTCAGATGTACCTAAATTATGTCCAGAACCTGTCATTCTTTTCTGTAGGCCAAATTTGTCCCGTGTGCATAGTAATCAGTGATTTAAAACTTATTATTTTTATTTTTTTGGTGTTGAGGGCATTTGCTGAACTGAAAAGATGTTTGATAAAAGTTATGACACCTTATTCATGTGAATTCTGTTAAATGCTTCTTTCTAGCAAACTGTGCTTCCTTATAAAGTATGTTTAAAACTACCATTTGTATTATGCTTTAATATTAACTGTAAATTCCATTACATTTAACTTATACAGAATTTTGTACACACATAAAAATGATTTCTTAAAATAAGATTAAAAACATTTCTGTAACATATCATATTGCACTGTTAAAAGTGTACACGCAGAAAAAACAGCTATATCTGTTCTTGTATCTTTCCGATACAGCATCTGAATTCACTGAATTCTGCCAAACCTTTATTTTTCTACAGACTGGATTCTCTGGAGGCTTTGTATTCAAAATGGCACAGTTTACTGTGGAGCTGCTAAGCTGTATGTAGCTTTGATAACAGTGGTACTGCACCTGGCCCAACGAGAGCACTATCTTACGTGAACTTTCCATAAGAGTTTCAACAGCTTATATTTGAAAGATTTTCATACTACACCACTTATCTTCTGCAAAGCTGTTTTCATAAATACATCATTGATTTTGAGTGTAATAGCACCACAATTATGACTTACAGGTTAGAAGTGGAGTAAGCTTGAAAGAAGTCAAAGGCAGGGCAACAGAAGCAAAGCTTACAGTTCAGAGGTCTAAAATGTCATACAGTTAAACTTCATGAATTTGCACTAATGAATGACTTGGTAACCCACTACCAACTGCTGAACTTTGTGAATCTGTGAGTAAGTTATTAAAACAATAATAAAGAAGACAGCACATCACAAGAATGTAGTTTCTTTATTGATTTGCTAACTTTAGCTGTCACATAACTGCAAGCCTTTCCTAGAGGTAAGAGTTAGCGAGCAAAAAAAAAAAAAAAACCACCACCACCCTGTAGCATTCTCTTCATGGACATATGGACATAACTGGCTTCAAAGGACTGACTACAGCTATGGTTCTTAAGAGGCAAAAAACCCCAAACCTAATAATTCATATAATTATGTGTGTATGAAATTAACCTGGGAGTTCCTGTAATCCTGCACTGTCATTGCTTTCCCACTTGTCTTGTTTTCAGTCGATCTGTACTGGGAGGGGAGAGAGAGGTCCAAAGAGGAGCAAACAGCAAAGGTTTGGGCTCAGACAAGCAAACTGATGTGGTAATGTGAAGGAGCTGCTTTCTATTCCCAGGTTCTGTGTGCCTTTCTTCCTGCAGGGAGGTAAATAAGTAGGTTTTTCCTAAACCTCAGTGATCTTCACTGAGCAATCTACCGTTTTCCTCTTTGTGCACATATTGCTTTCTGCAGCAGAAGCACAGAAGTAAGGTGCTGGTGCAGTAAGGCTCATAGAAGTAGTTTTGCGTACTGTACACTTTTAAGTGTGAAAGAATCCCTATGAAGTTTCACAATACAGCAGAATGCTTTAGGAAAAAAAAAACAAAAACAATTTCATAATTATACTGTGGTTCTGTATCTCTTTTCCTTAAAAGTTATATTAGTTACTCACAGCTGAAGTGTAAAAACTTGCATCACCCCCTTCTCCTATGTATTTATAGGTATAAATACACAAAGCCCCTTATTCTCCTCTAAGTTAACAGACAGATTGACGTAATAAAACAGGTCTTTCAGTAGAAAGTTTAATTGAAACAAGAAATAGAAATAGCAAGTTTAGACTATAATTTTATTAACAACATCAAGAGAAAAAAAATAGTATTTAAGTTCCTTTTCCTATGCTGCTTACTCTGAGATACTGAATTCCCAGTATCTTGTTTCTTGTTATATAGAATTAAGCAACTCCAAAGCTTCTTTCTGTACCTGAAATATAAAAATACACTCATAACAAAATAATACTTTGTATTTACAGGCTTTTCTAGCAAAGCTTATTATCATGCAAACACTCCAAAGCTTCACCACAGTTCTTTAGATCTGTTATTTTAAGACTAGTCAGTTACTTTCCCCATCTTTAAGATGCTTAATGTTTTAAACATGGATGGGAATAAACCTCTTAAACTAGACCTTTCAGTATAATTGACTTATTAAACATATTGTTTAGTTGGGTTGAATGCAGTAGATGAACTCTGATATGCTACTTAGCCTAAAAAGTAGCACGTACTGAGTTACTTTATTCCTGAAGTAACCAACCAACCTAGAGTTTTGAAAACTACAGACAGCAGCTAAGGGAATATGAAAGACTGTTTGCCAGACTCCCTGTGCCTGAGGATTTTGAGTAAAATGTAGTAAAATTTGATGATCAGTGGTACTAAAGAATAAAAAGCTTCTGGCTCTCACATAGCAAGCAGTGCAGGCACTGCAAGCCCAATACTGCAGGCAGTAGGAGGTGAAAAAAGTTCAGAATACCTACTTGGCCCTCTGCCAAAAACAGAAACAAGAATTCCAGCTTTTCTGCAGCAGATCAGTTTCCTTCTTACTGCACTACACATTGTTTAGATTCCAATGTTTGTGACACCAATGACTATTGTGTTTTACACAGTGACCTACAGAAGGGAGAGTGTCTTCTGTTTAGCAGCTGTGCAGTATTTTAGAAGTAGTTAACTCATGTGCTTGTCTTAACCTCAGCAACAGTTAAGGATGGGTAGTTGTTCACACCAGAGAACCATCACTGTTTTTTATTAACAGAATATCTCCAACCATTGTATTCAGAGGCTTACAAGACAGGATTTTCTTTGTCTGGGTGTGATGCAGAAATACAGGTACTTAGCTAGAAGTTACTCTGAGGTAACTGCTCCATTTCCATGATTTGACAGAGGTTGGTTACCATTTCAGTTCTTAGCTTCCTACCTGTTTGTCCTCTTCTGTGTGTGCAGGATAATCCTTCGCTTTGCTTAACCATAGGAGAGCCATCTTTTTGTTGTTTAACTTCAGGTATGTCTTCCCCAGAAAGAGTAAATTTTTGCTGTAGAAATTTGGGTCAGCTGTACAGAGACAGGAGAGAAAAGCATTCCATGATAATGAGCAGCATACTATCAAAGCCACAGTATAACATCACTCCTCTAAATCCTCATTTCAGAAAAAGATTAATAGTATTTTGGCTTTGGATCAAAAGGAACACAGTGTAAAACTAGTACACTTTCTAGACTTTGGTCTTCTATATGGTTACATTAGGTAGCATATTTTGCACAATAATAAAGTACACATACATAGGCAGATAAATGCCTTGCTGTAGAAAAAGTGCAGTTTGATAAAGCAGGCAGAGGCTGAGAGCAACAGTGCTGCCTGCTCCCACCCTCTCTTCCAGCTGGGGGACCCACTCTGTAGTATGCACAAACTTCAATAGTAAGCTGTAGCTCTGCCCTTAGTACTATTAGGGTTATATACTCCAATACTTGTTAGATTTTTTTAGTCATTGACTATTACTCTTGTCCTTAACATTTCAAATTCCAGCAGGCAAAAATCATAGCTGCACAAAAGGATACGCTAACATCAGTTAAAAAAAAAATACTAAAAAGATATAATATTGTTATATATAATAATATAAAAATATATATGGGTTGCTCCAAAAGTAATGCATCGTATTTATTTCCATGGAAACTACAACAGTTACAAAGGGCACAATAACACTATTTGATAGAGCACTTTCTCAGCTACAAAAACACTATTTTTCAACACGTCACTAACATTATTTAGGGCCACAAAGATGATTAGGGGCCTGGAGTTTCTCCATATGTGGAAAGACTGAGAGACCTGAGAAGACTGAGAGGGGATCTCATCTCTGTTTATAAATATCCAAGGTGTGGGAATCAAATGGATGAGACCAGGCTCTTTTCAGTAGCGCCTGCGATGGGACAAGGGACAACAGGCACAAAACACAACGCAAGAGGTTACACACAAACATGTGAAAGAACTTCTCTACTGTGAAGATGACAGAGCACAGAACAGGCTGCCCAGAGAGGTTGTGGAGTCTCCTTCTCTGAAGATATTCAAGACCTGTTTGGGCACTCTTCCTGTGTAACCTACTGTAGGGGACCTGCTTTAGCAGGAAGGTTGGACTCCATGATCTCCAGCAGTCCCTTCCAACATCTACGATACTACGATTAGCTGTGCATTTTCCCCAGCAATGAACAAGACTCTGCATGCCACGTTTGTAAAAGTCTGCAACAGCAGAAGCGACCACTGTGCCACTGCAGAAATGCAACCACCTAACTGTGCTCACATCCACTGTTTGTTCTCCATAAATGTTCAGCAAGCATCAATGAATGTCAGTGGGTGCCATTTTTTCCACATGGAGGCGAACAATGACACACCTTTGCTTCCTATGCACTTCCATGTCAGATGCCACTTTGTCAGGCTGCCCCTTCACAGCCATCTGTCACATGGCAACAAAATGAAATGGAACATAGATGGGAAGGCTCAAACCTCTACTGCCATACCACCAACATCTGCCTTTGACATTGTAGGCCAGTGTAATAAAATAGGAGGCACTACTTTCAGAGCAGCCCTTCTTTTTACGTATATATATAACATCAAATACAGGTAAACATAAGGAGGTGTTTTGGAGGCATGCTTTAAGGCAAAGTCTACCATTCCAGTCCACAGCTGCAGTAGCTGACACCCAGGGAAAGACAGATAATAAGCTTTTCCTTCAGGCTTCACTGAAACATCTATACATTGCCTTCCCTAATCTTGCAGCTTGCCCATTTTGCTTGGGGTCTCTCTCTTGGGGAAATAATAGTTACATATTTGCTTTTATGAGGTCAGTTTTGCTGCCAGTTGGATAGGTACTCTGATCCCAGTGACAAATGAAATAATATAAAGTGTTGTCTCTGTCATCTTATTGGGAATACAGGGGGTTTTGGAACACTAAAAAATGAACAAGAATGACCAATGTAGAAATTCCACTTTTGCTTGCTTCTTTGCCCTGCAATAACACATTCCAATTGGATGCCTTGGGGAAAAGTATGAAGGACTCCCTCCCCCCAACGCACCCCAGAGACCATGCATCCCAAAACCTGCTGAAATACAAGCAACTTCTGAAGGTCTCCAAGGAAGAGACCAGACCCACACCTCTTCTCCGGCACTCCACCCTGTGCCCCTGCCTGTGTTCCGGTACTGGGCACCGCCTGGCAGAGCCCAGCCTGGCTCCATTGCATCCCTTTGGCACTTCTTCGGGTATTTGCAGTTATTAATCTCGCCGCCCCCCCCCGCCTTTCCGTGTGCTCGAGTTCCTACGCCACCCCGGTGACCCCCTGCTCGACTCTCTCCACTGTGTGACAGCCTCTGACGCTGGGGGGCGCCCACAACTGCACCCAGTACTGCAGGTTAAGCGCTGACTTAAGAACCACCGCCGCTCCTGGCCCGCGGGCTGACGTAGCGCGCAGCCGGACTCCGCCCGGAACACCGTTATGCCGTTCTAGCGGCGGAGGCCGACTGAAAAATAAGGCTTTCCCTGACCGGGAATCGAACCCGGGCCGCGGCGGTGAGAGCGCCGAATCCTAACCACTAGACCACCAGGGAGCGCGATGACCTTGTTTGCAGCGATAGTATTCTGCTGCTACAGTTGCACACTAGTCATGATATGCTAACTTGCAACAAAAGTGAATATCGTGTCTGCAAAAAATGACAAGAATTACCTTCCTCCGCCATGTGGAAGTAACGAAGGGCCTGCAAGAGATAAGGCTGTCTTTAATGCCAGGCACACTGTCAAACCAATTCACTGCACATGCTCAACATAGCTGAGAAAGGACATCTGTTTGTCCCACCCATCATCTTACTTGCAGGAATTCAGCATGCTACTCATTTGGTGTACAATCAGATTGGACCTCTTCTCAACA